CCCACTCCTTTATTACCAAGTTTCTCACCGAGCACTTCCTCCAGAAACTAGTTGCGGAAGAATCAACAGCTGTGAAACTGATTCTGGGGAATCAGGTCTGAAAGAGCAGGGCCTCCCTCTGATTTTTGCTCCTAGAGAGTTCCTGAGTTCTGGGAAAACAGTCTCCCCTCCCCCATAGACCATCTCTGTGACTCCCAGAAGGGGAAAGTGGTCAAGTCACCCCATAATGAGGTCTTGAAATATGGTCACCCAAAGGACTCCCACAGTCCCTATAATACATGCTAACGAGGGGATCACACAGTGATGGTTCCAGAGCACTTGAGTGACTGCCTTCTTCCCACAAACAGCACAGGGACATTTTGAAACAACAGGTTCACTCCCTAAAGAAGGATTAAATTTCCTCATAAGCAAGCCCCTCTTATGTCTCAAGTCACCACTTTGGCATGCATTTGTTCTTTAAAATCTTACTTTATACATCCTCATTGTTATTTATATAAATTACTCCTTTCGGTTTTTTTTAAAGATTTATTTATTTATGCATACAAGATCTGGGGTACTGGCCAGAGGTGCAGGGGGTGAGAGGATTCACCAGAGTGGGTTGCAGAACAGGCAGACTGAAATACACTGCTGAGGGGAGCAGCAGGAGAGTCAGGAGAGGTCTGCTGTGCCATGTGGGTGGCTCCCTGGCCGGCCGGGATGGAACTCGTGCTGCAGAGGCTGTGATAGATTCATAGTGTGGTGCTTAACCCCTTGCGCCACCAGGGAGGCCCCCTCATTTTGTTTTTAATCAAATTGCAATTGATTTACCATTCATTTACAAAACTATCATTTGGGGGGTACAGCTCCATACCTTGATGTGTTGTTTCGCTTCACTCACCTACAGCAACATTCTAGTGCCTTCCCACTCTACACTGGCCCCTCTCCCCTTTCCTCACAGCCTTTCTTATGTACTTATTATGTAGCCCAGACTTCCCCCAGGTTTCCTTCATCACTGCACTGATTTTTGGATCTAATTCAGATTCCAGCCCCTGATCCTTTGTACCTTCTCTTACACTCCCTTCCCTTTTGTTCTGCAGACTGACTTGCATGATCTTTAAAGACCATTTCTGGGTTTTGTGAAGCCCCAGAGAAAGAGGAGCTGTCTTGAGTGGTCTAGCCCCAGCTCAAGTGGGTGGCTTTAGGTAAACCGCAAGGCAAACTGAGCCCATCTAACCCACAGAATCAGGAAAATACATCATTGTTGTTTTCACTGAGTTTTGGGGTGGCTTGTGCAGAGAGAAAAAACATTTCTCTATCCTCTTAGTTTCCTTTTTTTTTTTTTGTGGGACCCTCGCCAGCGGCCGGGGAACGAACCGGTGCTGCAGGGGCAGCCTCGCCGCCCAGCGCTCAACCTCTGCGCCAGCAGGGGAGGCCCACCTCTCAGTTTCTTTTTTAAAGATTTATTTATTTATGCATACAAGAGCTGGGGCACAGGCCAGAGATGCGGGTGGTATCCTCTCAGTTTCTTGATAGCACTCAATGTAGTTGATCATCCTGTTACAGCACGGGGGGGGGCACCCCAGAACCCCCAAACCTGCCTGCTCTAAATAGGTTCTGCCATCTGTCACACATTAAGACAAAACATACTCTAGTGCACAAGACCACTAAGGGAAAGGAACTTTAATACAATTTGTGTGCAACAAAGACCAGACAAAAAAATATAGGTTCCAAATCAAACACCTGAAGTTTCCCATTCCCTCGTAGGTAAACATCCAACCAAACAGGGTTGGCCCAAAGCAGGGCCACCGAGGCCCAAAATTCTGCCACACGTCTAAAGCACCTTCTAGCAGGGATCCATAGAAAAGGGTCAGAAACAGCCAGACAAGCCTGGAAGGAAAAGAACAAAATCAAAATCAAGATCAAAGCTGCCATGTGAACCTCCCCATGGGGCTCTCACCTACATCTGTTTCAACCAGGCGAGGACCAAGAAGCAAGCGCAGTTATCACGTCTCTGCTCCTTGTGCCTCCGCCAGGTCTCCTCCTTGCTCTCCATCCTGCTTCCTTCCTTCTCCAGGCTCCTCTCCAGCTTCTCCTCCTCCCTGCTCAGTTCTACCCTCATTTGGGGCAGAGAATCTGCAACCTCCCTTTTCCCTGGGGACCCCCCCTTACAATCCCTTTTTGAAATATTAGGATATTTGGCTCTCGTGTCTCCCTGTTCTGCTTTTCCTCTTCCTCCACTCCTTGGCTGCTGCTTCTGAGGCTCCTGAGCTCTACGTATCTCTCTCTTCCTTATCCGTCAGAGGCCAGATCTTTGGAAAACACCTTTTCTCATGGGGTGACCCATCCAGTCCTGTAGTTTTAAAAACCACCTATTTTTTTCACAATTCTAGTTACGATCTCTTCTATAAATACCAGACTCATGGCCCCAAATGCTAGCTGGGCATTCCTGCTTGGATGCTTAGTATATAATTAGTAGTACCGCTATTCTATCATTAGGGACTGGGCTTAAAGGGAGTCCAATGTTTGTTTTAATCAGGTAAAGCATACAGACCTGGAAATGACTGTTAAGGAGGAAGACTTGATTTTCATGTGCACAGACCCCCTAGAAACAGGAGGCAGCACAGCCAGGAGGGCCTACATGGAGAGGCAACAAAACTGGCCAGGAGGCAGAGGGAGTGAGGGGAAAATGTGGGCAAAACTGGCATGCGGGAGGCCTTCTAGGTTCCTGGATGTCAGCTGGAGCTTTTAAAAGCCTCTACAGGGCATGCCATTCTTCTGCTTTTCCTTCTAAGCTTTTGTTGTCATTTGTTGTTTGCTGCAACTGTTATCTACTTCCTCTGTCAGTCATCATGTAAAAATATTCACCAAATAATCCCTGGGGAGAAGCCATTAGGATTGGGCTAGTTTCTGTGAGGTGGAAACAATAGAAATCATTTTAGGGGAGTCTTCCAGGGAATCACCAGATGGGTCAAACGATGACTTTTGAGGGAATGAGACTTTGAAAATGAAATGCAAAATGTCTAAAGTTATGTTGAAACAAAACCTCCCTATAGACTGAAAGTTCCAGAGAGTTACTGATAAAGGGTCTCAAGGCCATATGCCTGTCTTATCCCAGATAACCGCTTAGAAGTCTCTTGCTTCTGTATCCCAGCTGGCTTTACCCCGGCTTTAGGCAATAAATATCCTGTTGCCTAATTGCTGAGGGCTCAGATTTTGGAGAAAGATCTCCTCTGAGCTCCCCCTCCCCCTTAATAAAGAACTTCCTTCCTCCTCTTTGAATGCTGCTTGATTCCCTGATGAAATGCATGCCTCAAAAAAGAACTGCAGTTCTGCTCTGCTCTCTCTTGCACAGGTATTAAGGAAGCTGGTTTTCAAGGCTGCACTGGAGCTGGGGGAGGAACAGGGCGAGGGTATGTCAAAATGCTGCAAAATCGGATGTTCTTCCTTGGATACAGCTGCTTTTCCGGACTAAATGCTAAATGAGTTGCCGCAAGACTGGTAAATTTCCAGAGCTCTGACAATGTTGATTCTGACCCATTTTGTCCATTTGTCCGTGCTCGTAGGGAAGGGCAAATTCCCCCAGGTCCTCGGGCCGCCATTTTCACAGACATCGCCCTTCTTTTTTGAGAAATGTTATTTTATTGCCAAACAGTGTAAAATCATTGAAATTAAAATTTTTATTAAACGTTTCACACAATTAAATTTTTTTAAACTATAATCAAAATCCACGAGAAACACCGCCCTTCACCTCACCCCCCAATTCCTAGTCAGTTGCCGGTATTACTACCTGCTCGTCAAATCTACTCAACAGATGTTTGTTGTCCTATTATAAAGACTTACATTCACTCAAAGTGGACACGACAGCGCATTTTCCCTTCCCAATCTTCCCGCCCCGCTCCCCCGTTTTCCACTCTCTCCCACAAGAAGCTTCCAGCAAACAGCCGCGGCCGGCCGTCCTCCGCCCTCTCCGCGCGCGCTCAGAACCGGGCCGCCGCGCTCCCGCTCCAGAATTCTCTCTCAGTCGCCGCCCCACACGTCTCCACAGCCCTCTTTTCTGAATGAACCAGACAGCATCGCCGTCTTTCTAGAACACAGGTTTAACGCACACGAAGAATCCAGACGACGACAGGCCCCACGTTGCTCCCGGAACCCCAGCCCACCGCCTCAGAAATCGCTTTTGCCCATAACTTAGATACTGTTCCCTGTGCTTCTAGAACATTCCCTGGGGCAAGACCATCCTTTCAATCGCGACCCCGCGTCACTCCCGCCCGGAGCGGCCCTTCCCGGCTCCCTCAGCCGCTGGCGCGACCCTCCGCGCTGAAGCGTCTTTAAACGCCCGTTCGCGCTCGGCCCGCGGGGCTGGGAGGGGAAAGCGGCTCGTTTAAAAGGCTCCAGCCGCTGGGCTTCCCCGAGGCCCGGGCCGCCGGCGGAGAAGGAAGGCGCCTTCCCCGGGGCCGGAACCCCGACTCGCGGCCTCGCTTCCGTCGCCGCCTCGCGGAAGCCGGGGTGCAGCCTCCGCGGCGTCGCGTGCCGGGTGCAGGTGGCGTCCGGGCCGCCGCGGGCGGGAAACGAGCGGGCCCCGCGCCGCGGCCAGACGCCTCGAACGTTCCCGGGAGGCTGCGCGCGAGCCGCCGGCGACGCGGCCGCCTCAGCCCGACGACCGCGCTCCGTCCGCCGCCGAGCGCGCCGCGAGGGAGCCGCCGCGTCGAGCCGCCTTCCCGGGGGCCGCTCCGAGGCCGCGGGCGCCGCGGCCCGGGCGGCCGACCGAGCCCGGCGCTTCCCGCCGTCGAGCGCCCCGTCGGGCCGGGCGGCGCGCCCCGCTGGCGGCCCCGAGGCCGGAAGGCGCCGGGCGCGCTCCGCTGCGGGCCCCGGGGCGTGGCGAGGCGGCCGGGCCGCGGCTCCCCCCCGCGCCCGGGAGCTTTCGCTTTCGTTTCCCGCTGGCGTCTCCACCCCGCTGCGGCGGCCGCCGGCGTCCGGGCGGCTCTCGGCCCGACGGGCAGCGCGCCCCCGCCGCGGCGGCCATGGCGCAGGCCGCGATGCTCGGCGAGGTGACCCAGGTGCTGTGCGCGGCCGGGGGCGCCCTGGAGCTGGACGAGCTGCGGCGCCGCGTGCGGGGGGCCGTCGGCGCGGACGCCCTGGAGCGGCTGCTGCGGGAGCGCCGGCGCCTGGTGGTGGCGCGGCGGGCGGGCGCGGGCGGCGCGGCGGCCGCCGAGCGGGTGGTGCTGGCCGCCTCGGAGCTGCGCCTGTGCCGCGCGCACCAGGGCTCCAAGGCGGGCTGCGCCGGGCCGTGCGCCGAGCTGCACCTCTGCAAGTTCTTGATCTACGGCGCCTGCAAGTTCCTGAGGGCCGGGTAAGGCGCCGCGCCCCGGGCCCGACGGCCGCCGCCGGGCGGGGGGGGCGGGACGGGGGACCCGGCCGCCCGCCTCACAGACCGGTTTGGGGCCGTCTTCGCCGGGCTGAGGCCCGAGGCGTCTTCCCCCCCGACCCCCCGCCCGCTCCTGGTCGCTTCAGCGAGCGTTTATTGAGCGCCTGCTGAATACCTGGCGCCGGGGGAGGGAGTCGCGGTGGAGCCCTGACCGCGAGGCACCTGCGGGCTCCCGGGGGCGGGGGTGGGTGGGGGGGGTGAGGTGGGGAGTCGGGGCTGGAGCGGGTGAGGACGCTCCAGAAGAAAACGGGCTCGGTCTGGCTTCCCAGCTCGCAGACCCGGGGCTTGGGGAAGAGGCGTTTCCCCGCGGGCTCGGCGAAGGCGGCTCCTCAGCCTCGCGTCACCCGTGACCGTCCCGGTTGACCCGCTGAGCAGCCGGCGGGGGCGTCTCCCCGCGCCCACGGCCCGCAGAGAGCCGGCCCCGCTGACCCCGCCGCCCGCGGGAGCAGCCCCGGCTCGGGCCCTTCTGCTGGCCTCTGCCCTGCCGGGAAGGCCCTTCTCCCGGCCCCGGGAATCCGCCAGGCCTCCCTCACGTGCCTCTGTGGAGCCCTGTTCCGCCCCCTCGTCAGGGGACCCCGTGTCCCTGCTCATGGGCTCCCTCTTATCCCCCCTCACCACCTCAGGGGGACGAGAAGGCCGAGGTAGAGGCCCAGCTGACTCCCCGGCACGCAGCTCTGCGCCTGGGGGAGTGGGTTGAGGTTTCTGCCGCAGGATTTGGAGGGCACCCTGAAGGGGCGGGTGTCCCAGAGGGCGGGAGAGAGCAGTGGGGGCACCTGTTTGGAAGCCACTCCAGGGATCTAGAAGAATTTGTGCCTTTTCTGTTTTCTGCTTTTGGCTTAATAGTCACATTGTTTCTTGCTCAGGTGGGGTCCAGCAGGGTGGGGTGGGGGCTTAGTCATTCGGGGACCCAAGCTGGCAGACCTCAATTCTGCCCTCGTCAGCCAGCCCGTGGCTCTTCAGGCCATTCTGGAAATCAGGTGCAGGAAGAGGGTGGAGATGGCAGGACGGGGTGAGGGGGAGGTTTTTTTGGACTCACCCCATCTCACAGTGCTGATCCACCCACGTCCCCTGGGCGGCAGGACCTGCCTAGATGCAAGGGGTACTGGGGGAAGAAGTTCCTGGAAAACACCTGCCTAGAAATATCTGCATTAGTATTTACCAAGACCCAAGTAAAGCCTGAAAAGGAAGGGATGTGTGTGAGAAATTTGGGGGAGATGAGGATTGGTGAGAGAGTGGTGGTCGGGTTTTCTTATGGCTGTTGGAGAGGTGACTTCCTTTCTTTCTGTCGGCAAAGGCAGTGGGAGAGGGTTTTGTTTTGAAGTGTGCCCAGGTCTGAAGTGCGGGAGGGTGCTCAGGGCCCCGAGGGGTTGGTTGGGCTGCTGGGGTCGCAGCCCTGGGAGTCAGTTCCATGCCTGGTGGAGCTGAGGGTGGACCCCCACTGGCTGATGAGGAAGGACAGGGTGCAGTCATGCGTTGCTTAAGGAGGGTGATGTGTTCCATCTGAGAAATGCATGAGGTGATTTTTGTTATGCAAATGTCATAGGGTGTAATCACACAAACTTTGATGGTAGAACCTTCCACACAACTGGGGATATGGTATCGTCTTTTGGGGCCCCTACCATCATCGTCATATATGTGATCTGTCCTTGACTGAGACATCGAATGGTGTTTGTAAATGGTGGGTGCGTGGCTCTAAAGATGGGGCTAAACTGTTGAATCTAGATGACAGCCCTCTTTGTCTAGTTCCCCGAATTTGGGGTTAGATTTTGCTCATCTTGGAAATCTGGATGTCTGCTAAATGAGATATTTTTGTTTGTCTAGATGATTTTGAGTTTTCTCCTTCTTTGCTTTTCTTTCATGCTTTACACAGGTGTGTTTCTTGCGCCAGCCTTCTCTGACTGTTTCAGGGTCCCAGCATGGAGAGTGGGTGTGGTGGCCGGCACTTTCTATCTTTGCCCTGTGACTCTCCTTGTTTTGCTGAACCAAAGGGTCAGCTGTTTCACAAATAGGTCATCACCGTGGCCATTGCTCATTGCCAGCAGCTGGGAAGGGCCCAGGTTACAGCCTTCCTTGCCCTGCTTACTAGAACAGCCCCTGTTTCAGCCCTGCTCTCCTCCTTGCTTCTGGTGATCTTGGGCAGGCTACTGCATATCTGAGCCTCAGTTCCCTCATCTGCAAAATGGCTTCCTCATAGATGTGTGGAGGACTGAATAAATTAACTTATAAAACATTGAGGCAATCCCTGTTTCTTGATAAGTGCCCAGCAAATTTTAGTAGCCATCACCATTATCATTATAATTATCAGCTGTATGTGGCTCTCGCAGCACCAATATTAGCCACTCTGTCTAGAATGTTCTTCCTTGCCTGGGTCCTCCTGTTTGTTTCAGGTGTCACACCTTCCAGGCGCCCTGCCTGGATTGCTCCCCACTTCAGTCAGGCCCAGGGGCCCCTGCACTCTGCTGATGTATTCTGAGCACAGCGGACCTGGCACTTTCCCACCATCCTCTGCCCCAGCACTGGGGGGAGAGGGGGAGGAGAGTCAGCATGCCTGCAAGGATTGTGTCCTAGCAGTGGAAGAGGGGAGTTGCCTTTTACTAGTTGGGGGACCTACAGGAGATGTGGGTCTGGGGGAGTTGATCAGGGGTTTAGTTTCCTTTTGAGATGTTTATACTTAGCATGATACACGAGGTGGGGCAGTGACTGAATCGAGCAAATGCTATTTGCCTGACTCTACCGGGTGCTGGTGACCCAGGTACTCATTTGAAGTCTTAACTGGATCATTGCACACATGCCAGTGCCAGGCCCATGGTTAGTGCTCCCTGGGGACTTGGTGAGCTGAAGAGTGGAGGAAGGGAGCAGAAAAGAAGGACTGGGCCTCAGGACTGCGTGTGTACAGGGAGCCGAAGGTGTCCATGTTTGTTCAGCTATTGTTGAGGTGCCTGCAAAGTGCCAGAGCCTGCTATGCTGCGACTCGTCTTTGGGTAGCAGCCTTGTCGTTCTCATCAGACACCTGTTGAGGGGTGCCGTCCTGGGTCCCTAGAACTTGCAAGGTGCCATCTCTTCTTTATAACGAAGTGTTATGTTTTTTTCATCACACAGACATGCCAGCTTTTCCCCTGTGCTCCTAAACAATGTCAGAGACTGTTTCTGAAAAATTACCTTAAAGATTTATCAGCTGTGTCAGTCTGCCTGGGCTGCTGTACCACAGCCCGGCTGGTGTAAACAGCAGAAAGTTATGTTCTCACAATTCTTGAGACTAAAAGTTTGAGTTCGAGATGTCAGAGTTCTTCGTGGCCTCTCGCCTTGGTTTGTGGGTGGCAGTCTTCTCCCTGTGTCTTCACGTGATCTTCCCTCCGTGTGGGTCTGTCCTAATCCCTTCTTCTTGTAAGGACACCAGTCGCGTTGGATTCGGCCTCCATATATCTCGTTTTAACTGAATTACTTCTCTGAACACTCCATCTCCAGTAGTTACTCCTAAGGTTCAGGGAGTTAGGAATTCGGTGTTAAATTTTTTTGGGGGGCCTACAGTTGTACCCTGATCCCAGCTCTGCTTCTTTGCAGGAAGAACTGTAGGAACAGTCACAACTTGTCGAGTTCTCACAACCTGAGCGTGCTGAGAACCCACGGCGTCGACCACCTCAGCTACAGTGAACTCTGCCAGCTTTTGTTTCAGAATGACCCCTGCCTTTTGCCTGAGGTGAGTGCCAGGCAGGGCTGGGTGTGCACAGGGAGAGAGGCCGGAAGGCTGAAAGCTCAGGAAATCTAGTAGAAGAAAATCCGAGCATGCGATTGTGACCTTGGGGATCCCCCCATGGTCCACCTGGATTGAATTCCCTGCTCTGCTCATTTTTAGACCCGTGCCCCTCCTTGAAGCCTCTTTTCCTTTTATGTCGTTTGGACTGGTCACCGCTTCGCAGGGCTTCTGTGAGGTGTGGTGACTGCAGTGAGGTGTTACTTCTCTGGGCATGAGGCTCTCTAGCCAGCCCCCCTTGTGGAGCAGCATTTGGAATCACAGAGGTATCCCTGGACTTGGTAGTTCTGTGGAGCATTCCAGAACTACTGACAGGAAGAAGATGTTTATTGATCCACATACAGCCAGGAAGTTTTGATGTGGACTCACTGCATTTCCACCATGAGCCACCTGTTTCCAGGCTGGCCTGTTTGGTTAGGTACTTATTCAGGCCCTGAGGAGCAGACACCATGGTGGGAATAGAAGTGTGGAGACTACTTGGGGAGGGAGCAGAAGGTCGGTGCACCTTCAGGTGGTGATGCAGGTGCGACATCTTGGCAGGAGAGAGGGTCTGACTGCAGCGCAGTTCCAGGAAAGTGCCCACCTAGCCAGCGGGACGTGCTGAGCCAGAGTCACAGTTGGAGGCAACCCACGTCTCCCCAGAAGGCATGCTGGTTGTTGGCTGGGAGCAGCACGCAGGATGTGATCTCAGCGTGTGTAAGAGTGTGGCTCCAGGGTGCTGTAGGTGTGTCCAGAGCTCACCAGGGCTGCAGCGCTCCCAGGGCGTGGCCAGGAGCATGCTATGGGGTGCATGGGTGCTGTTTCTGGCGTGAAGTACAGATGAGATGGTATCTTTCCAGGGAGATGCTTCCTTATTACTCAATTCATATCACCCTTTCAGAAAGGCACTGTGTAGTGACTGGCACTTTGTAAATAGTTATTTTTTTCTTTGGCCTTTTGAAACTTCATATTGATTGAATTTGACTAACTTTCACGGACTGTCCATCATGAGTCTGCACTGGCCATGAGAGGAGAAAGTGGCAGTTCTACCCGTGAGGCACAGTTAGCGGGTGAGACACACGGGTCAGCAGATGATTGCAGGTGCTGTTTCAGATGCCCTGGGCACAGGGAAGGCATCTAGAGGAGAGGGTGCCTGCTCTGGGTGCTGAGGGATGAGTGGAGGATGACGGGCTGGGAAGAGAGCAGCACAGGAGGAGGGATCCTGGTCTGGTCTGGGTGGGCATGGACGTCATCATGACCCTTCTGGATTGAGGGCGGGGAAGGCGGCAGGAGAGAAGTGGGTGGGCAGAGGCTTGTCCAGGAAACCTTCTGTATCACGGGGTGGGGGTTTGTGTTTGGGCAGTGGGTATGCCCTCTGAGGTCAACTCGTCAGCAGCTTGAGAAGTGGATCGGGAGCCTCTCTCTGCTGGGTGTGCTGTTTGGCCCAGAACACAGGGCCAGCAGATGGGAGCTGAGACCATAAACTTAGATCCAGCGTGGCTCTCCTGCTCAAACTTCTGCTCTTAGCCTCATCCCCTTAGTAGATGGCCATTTGGGGGATGCCACTACAATTCAAGCACCCAGTGTGTTTCAGGCATTGCATTAACCACTTGGTATGCTGCCCCTTTAACTATCACATCAGCTTGGTGGTGTAGGCAACATTCCCATTTTAGGGACTAAGGCTCTGAGAGCAGGTAAAGAGAAGGTGAAGCAGCTTGAAGTGGCAGAATCAAGCTTCTCTAGCCTCTCCCATGGGGGCTTCCATCCCCAAAGCTGGTTCCCTGCTGAGCCAGGTCTGATCTGCAGTCCTCCAGAGCACTTCTACATGTTCCTCGGTGTAGGGCTGTGGGTTGAGCGGATGGGCCTTTGGTGATCTCTGGCCCCATCCTTAGGAGTATGCAGGTAGAAGAGAAGGAATAATTCATTCCAATTCAAATCCCAGCACTGCCAGTAACATATTTCAACAGACATTGTGAGTGCCACACAGTATTAAATAGCTGTGTGACCTAGGGCAGGCTGGGTAGCTTCTGGGTCTGTCTGCTGTGCAGATGGAAAAGAACTGTATTTGGCCATCTGTAAGATTCTTTACTCGGAGCCTTTTTGACCCTAAATAGTTGGCTCTGGAGCCTGGCTGGGGAGTGCTGGAGATTCAGCGGGGGATGGGTGTAGGAAGGATACTTCTCTGAGTTATGGGGAAGTGTGGGGTGAGACTAAGCAGCTGTGATTGGTTTGAAGCTCTTAGGGTTTCCCCTGCTGAAGGTTCTCTTCTCAGCAGCCTGCTGTCTACCCACTTCCCATTTAGCTGAGCACATCTGTTGACAGCCCTCTGTCTAGAGTGAGGGACGTTCCCAGAGCAGCCTGGCTGGTGGGGATCGAGGCGTCACAGCTTTGGCTAGCTCTGGGGGGGCGAGGGGGGGGAGCTGCTTCGAACCAGTGGGCTGATCTGGTCAGCAGGGGGTGGTGATGTGTGGAGCCTTCCTAAGCTGCTGTCTTGCTCCTCTCAACAGATCTGCCAACATTACAACAAAGGAGATGGCCCCTACGGCTCGTGTTCCTTTCAGAAGCAGTGCATCAAGCTGCACATGTGCCAGTACTTCTTACAGGGCGAATGCAAGTTTGGCACAGGCTGCAAGAGATCTCACGATTTCTCGAATTCTGAGAATCTGGGAAAACTGGAGAAGTTGGGCATGAACTTGGACCTGGTGAGCAGACTGCCTTCCATCTACAGAAATGCTCATGACATCAAGAACAAGGACTCCGCCCCCAGCAAAGGCCCTCTTGTCCCACCGGCCCCACAGCGTACCTCTGGTAAGTTAGGGGGCTGGGCTCTTGGTTTCCTGCTGGAATCTGGCATGGAAAGGGTGGCCTAGAACACATCAGCTGCTTTCAGTGAAACACAGTTGGGGATCCCTTCTAGTCAGAGGGAATTGGGAAGGTGCTGGAGACTGATGTGAACAGCTGGCCAGCCTGCACAAAGGCCACTGGTGTTGACAGTGAGCGAATTCCCGGCAGGCCTGGTGGGCACTTAGATGGGAGGCTCTGCTGCTCTCTGATCAGTCATCCCTCTGTACCCGGAGAGCTTGGTACCTGGTTCAGTACCTGGTTCAGCTTGGTACCTGAGGGACCTAGTAAAGGACCCCCGAGTCCTTGACTTGGGGTCAGTGAGGGACCCCCGAGTTAAGGGTGCCATGTGCACAACTCTGGGGTCTCCTTTGAGTTGTATTGTTTTGATTCCTGTGAAAAGAGTAAATGGAACATTTAAACTCCAGCTCTCCTCTGGACATGTAAAATAGAATTATTTTAGACGTTGTGAATTGGCTTTGTCCTTCATCTCCAGCAGCGGGGGCACCTGGTGGTAGGTGGTGCTCAGACATTTGTTCAGTGAACGAGCGTGTTAGATACTTTTAATTGTCCTTGCCACATGTTCAGTTTTTTTCTATTTTCTTCAGTTAGTTTTGGTTAATTTCTTCCAACGATGGGAAGCCTAGAAGTAGACAGGTTTTGCTTTAAGTAGAGCCGTGTGAGTGTCAGTGCCTTGTGGCCCTTCATTGTTAGGAAGTGGGGGAGGCTCTGCCCAGTCCCAGCAGGGCCAGAGGGCAATTAACTGCCCTTGGTGAGCCAGCGGGGGTCACTTTGAAGCCCGACAGGTACAAGTACGGATTTCCAGGCCCAGCTTGAGGCATGTCTCTGGGGTCTACACAGAAGAGGGAAGATGAGCAGCAGAAAGACAGCGGGGTGCTGGGCAGGAGGAGCTTGCTAGTGCTGTGTTTTATTTGTAAGCTCGCTGCAGAGAGCGTCTGGAATAGTTCTTCTGAGCATCAGGCTCTTGTATCAAAAGAGTGAGGACTTAAAGGGGGTAGAAAAAAAGGTATTGGTCAGTTTGAAAGTCACAGTTTATCTTTCTGTAATCAGATTAGGAGAAAAATGGAGAATCACTGGTAGCAGGACGAAGCAAGAATCTTTGAGGGTCTGGCACCGTCTGTTTCCCCAGCACGGCGTAGGAGGGAGGCATAGGGACGTGCATGCCGAAGCCAGGGCGCTCTTACATGCCACAGCTTGTTGCTGGCAGGGCTGTTGTTGCCCTGGTCGATGACTGGTCTATTCCCACAAATCTTTATCAGTCTTCATCACAGGAAAGGCACTGCTCTGTGCTCTCAGCCCAACTCTCTTGTTCTTGGCCTGGTTGGGGTGACAGCATCCTGCTCGATATAGCTTTCATTGTCACAGTTGAGAAATGGTGACTGATGGTGGCTCAGCCAGCCATCGAAGGGATGAATGGCCAATCAGGATGATTCTTTCTGAGCTTGACAAGATGATCGGGAAACTTGCAGGCCCTGACCTGGTGGTAAAGGCATTGGAAATGAGGGAGTTGAATCCAAGTGCTCAATGGAGACATACACTCCAACAGTCACCTTCACCCCCACATCCATGCCCTCCCAATACTTACTTTGGCCCCTCAATAATGCCTCTTCTATGCTTATGTGGTGGTGGGGTTGTGGGTCTAGTTAGGTCAAGGTTCACAGCAGTGCTACTCTTAAAGGTGTACTTTGTATTTTTTTTTTTTTTAAGATTTTTTATTTTTTATTTATACAAGAGCCGGGGTACAGGTCAGCTATGCGGGAGGGTGAGAGGATTCACCAGAGATAGAGCGGGGAACAGAACAGGCAGACTGACGAAATACACTGCTGATGGGAGCAGCGGGCGACACAGGAGAGGTCTGCTCGCCATGTGGGTTGCTCCAAGGCTGGTGGGGATCGAACTGGCACTGCAGAGGCTGCGGACAGCTTCACAGCGCTGTGCTCAACCACCTGCGCCACCAGGGAGGCTCTTAAAGGTATACTTTGAAAGCACTTTATATACTCTTTATATTAAGATTGTTATAATTTACTTTAAATTAATAATTAGTACCCAATTCTAAATTGTTCATTGACAAGTATTTACTGTTAGAACTAAATCTAGTTCGTCAAAGCCCTCTGGTTGCCCCCCAGGGTCCTCACAGCCTTTGATACACAGGTTCTGTGCTATCCAAAAGTAGAATGTTTCTATTTGTTGTGATTTGGTGGGTTATTTTTTGGTTCCAGAAAAGCTGTTACCATTATTTTATATGGAAAATGTTTTGAGTGTTTCCATACCCCCAAGTAACCCAGCAAATAGCAATGGTTTACTTTTGGGTAGTGGGGGAAACCTGTAGAAGGAGCTCGAGCTATCACAGCGTGTGGAAAAGTAGTTTTCCCTTACAAAACAAGTGTCAGAAACTCCTCTCCACCATTGGAGGTTCTGAATCTTCTGGGGTACGGTGTGGGCATGGGGGAACAGGGCACTTGCATTTTTATACAGGTCCTCTGATGAACTGGGTGCACAGTCAGAGGTGAGAAGAGCTTGTGCCCAGTTAAGTGACCAGCAGCCGTGTGTCCTCGGGCTCTTCCCTCCAAGCGGGGACCTGCCTGTGTCCAAGGGCATGTTCATCCCAATCATCATAGGATTTTTCCCACTTGTCTCTGCAGAATGATGGATGACTCTTCTTTCCCTCCTTTGTGCCGTGAACTCTAACCCCATACTAGAAGCCTCAGTGGAAGCTTACACATCTTTGTGGTGTTTCTTTGTAGAAAGAAGAGACAGTTCAGGTTCTGGGTCCTCAAACACTGCTAGCCAAGAGGAGAGTGAAGAGATTTGCTTATACCACATCCGGAAAAGTTGTAGCTTTCAAGGTAAGTTGGAGGAAGCCCCTTCCTCACCTAGAGTGTGGGATGACACGCTCAGCCCTGGAGCTCTGCTCTGAGAGGATGGGGCTGCTTGTGAGCTCGTGTGACCCACTGACAAAATCAGTTCTGAAGATTTTGTTGGGGAGTTGAGGATGCTAGGAATTTGTTGAGTTTCAAGAAACCTTCTATAGGTGAGTATTTGGGAACATGTTTTCTTCATGCAACAGTGAGTGTGAAGTGTTAACTCTTGGTCAGCTTAGCGTGAGGTATAGACATGCAGGGGACTCCATGCCCAGTCTAGTGGGAACCCAGATCAGTGCCACCCATGAAGTGAGATTAGCGATGCCTTAGAAACCAGGAGGCCTTCTTAAGGAGGTGATATTATGTCTACTGCTGGAGGACAAGTTCTTGCTTAAGTTGGGGGGCAGGGGTTCTCTTCCTCAGCTTTTATCAGAAGTACCAATTCTTGTGTTGTCTGTATTTTCATTAATCTTTGTTTTCTTCTGCTGCTGTCCTGGGCTTAGAAGAAAGATTCCCTCTCAAATTTGGTGACTTCTCTTAAAAAACAACCACCCAACTTGTTGCTTGGTTTTTAGCCTTTAAAAATTACCCAAGCAATTGGGCCTCTCTGGTGGTACAGGGGTTAAAGTCTCAGCACTGTCAAGCTATCGCCAGCTTCTGCAGCATGGCACAGGTTCTGTCCCCGGCCAGGGAGCTGCCCACATGGCGCAGCAGACCTCTACTGTTTTGCCCGCTGCTCCCCTCAGCAGTGTATTTCAGTCAGTCTGCCTGTTCTGCTCCCCACTCTGTCTCTGGTGAATCCTCTCACCCTGATACCTTGGCCTATACCCCAGTTCTTGAATGCATAAACAAATAAAAATAAATCTTAAAAAAAGAATTACCCAAGCAATTCATGAATCCTTTCACTTTGTAAGAGAGCCCAATTATAAGGGTGAACCCTGAAGCCATCCTTCACCCTTTCTGAAAGGTAAAGAGGTGTGGTGTGGGCATGAGAAATGTCTTACATATTCTTAAGCAGACAGGGACATGTGATATGTATTATTCAACCTGCTTCTTTTACTTAACAGTGTGTCTTATGTGTTTTTACCATGTTAGTTTGTGTAAGTCTACCTTGTTTTTAAAAACAACTGTGTAGTGTTTGATGACAGTGTTGTTCCATTGAGCATTTGATACCCCTGTGTATTTTCATATAGGTTCCTGAAATAGAATGCTCACTCCTGGGATAAGCAGCATGTATACATACATACATACATACATACATACATACATGTATATCCATATATATATATTTTAAAATCAGCATTATTGACATAATTTACATGCAGTAAAATGCACCCATAGTAAATATTTTTCTCCATGTAACCATCACTGTAATATATATGTGGAACAGTTCCCTCACTCAGAAAATTTACTTATGCTCTTCATAGTTAGTCCTAGGGCCCCAACTTCCCAACCCCAGGCAGTGCCAAATCTACTTTTTGTTGCTATAGATATACATTTTCTAGAAATTCATATAAATGGAATCATAGCAGTATTTATTCTCCTGTATCTGTCTTCTCTCAATATGCTTTTGAGACTCTGTCATCCTGACATATCAATAGTTTGTTCATTTTTATTGTAGTATTCCATTGCATGAATCAACTGAAGTTGGTTTAACCATTCATCTGTTGATGAACATTTGACTTGTTTCTAGTGTTTGCCTTTCAAAAATGTAAACCATCTGTAAATACTGACGTGTACATTTTCACGTGGCTATATATTTCACATGTCTTAAGTAAAGGCCTAGAAGTGGAATTACAGGATCATAAGTGATAAATATGTGCTTACTTTTATAAGAAACTTCAAAACTATCTTCCAAAGTGGATATAATATTTTACCTTCCTACTTGCAATGTATGAGAATTCTGGCTACTCTGTGTCCTTGTCAAACAGTTATTATTGTCAGTCCCTTAAATTTTAGTCATATCTTGTGATGATTTTAATTTACATATCCCTGATTATTAATGATGTTTGACATCTGTTTTCATGTGCCCATTAGCCATTTGTATGTCTTCTGTAAAGTATTTGTTTAGACCTTTTCCCTACCTTATGTGACAACTTATTGAGATTCTGTATATAATTCACGTACCACTTTATCTCCTCATCTAATAGTTTCATACCAGAGTCACAGAATTCTGCCTCCATCACAATCAGTATTAGAATATTTTCGTTATCCCCAAAGAAATCCCATATTCATTAGCAATCCTTCGCCTTTCTCCCCTTCCTCTGACTCCTGGCTCTTTCTCCTTTTTGTAGATCTTCAGATTTACATCAGTCTTTATATATTTGCCTGGATAACACATTTAAATGGAATCACATAACATGTGATCATTTGTGATTATTTCACCCACTTTTATTGTCTTGTACAATTTCTCACTGGGTTGTGAGAATTTTGAGTTTTCTTCAAATAGCTCTTTCTGTTCAATATGTAGATCTTCCAGTTTGTCTTTCATAGCCAGTTTCTTTTTGTTATCTTTGGAAGAATAGAAGTTTTAATATTGGTGTCCATTTTAGTACATTTTTCTTTCATGGTTGGTGTGTTTTGTGTCCTAAAAATCTTTGCTTCTCCAAGTCCAAAAATATTTCTTCTGTGTGTTTTTCTAGAAATCTTACAGGTTTAGCTTTTATTTTAGGTGTAGCTGTTATGCTTGACCTGAATTATCTATTGTTTATCTAATGGTAATCCTCTAATGGTAATCTGTTTACCTAAATTATCATTTCCGTAGGTATTGATCTGTGTGAGATAGCTGCCTTGCCATGTTACTTTGTCATGTGTTGGGGGACTCTTAGTGTCTGCTGATGGTGCTGGAGGATGCCTGGGCATGTGGGTAGGTGCTGATTCTTGGCTTATAGGGAAACAGGAAGTACATCTTGCTTGGTGGGGTGCTAACCTGTATCCTACCACTGGGCCAGGGCTCTCCTAGCTCACTCTCTCTGGCCTTCCATCCATACTCATGCTCTATGGCACAGATAGCAAGGCTGCTGGCAGAAACATGGCTCTATTGCAGTGCCTGCTGCAGTGGGTGCCAGTTATTCCCACAGCCATTGACCCTTGTCTTTCTTGCGTGTTAATACTTTTGAATTTGTGGAATGCTCAGACCCTTCCCACTTGTGCAGTAGTGCTCTTCTGCATATTTTGCATGTTTCTGTCTTTCATCTCTCTGTTTGATTTTTGTCTACCTCATAATCAATAATTCTGCTTTTCTGAAAGTATTTTAACTGTTTTTCAGTGCTTTTGGATTTCTTCCTCTCTCTGGTCTGTCATTTCAAGGTATGTAGGGGAGATTGGGATTGGGTGCTAGGCCAAGTTGATGTGGTTTGTGTGATTCACCTTTAGAAAACCTAGACTCTGGAATGCCATGATGAGGTGTGGGAACTTTTTGGAAGGAAAGGAAGTTGAGGAAGGAGGACAGGAAGACCAGGGAAGATGTGGCAGAGAAGGGTCCTCATGTCTCCATCAGTGCGCTGGGCCTCAGCCTCACCCACAACATGGCTGTGTGACCCCCTCCTTCTCGAGGCACCTTCCAGCTTGTGAGCAGCCTGGGCCCTGTGCTTAGCTCAGGCCTGCTATTGGGACCCAGTGCTTAACTTTGGTCCCGTATCCTTCCAGCAGACCTGTCAGGCTGAGGGGCTGTGGGTGGTGTGCCTTCCCTGAGGATGCTTTCCCCAGGAGAGAGCCTTCTCAGTGCAGTCACTGAGCCCTCTTATCTTTGACTGGTTCCCTTTGTGCTCCTCAGGGAGATCTTACTAGGTCGTGACCTCTGGACCAACTCGACTTTATCTGTCTATGTTCCACCCTTTATTATTACTGGATTGTTTGGTTGAAAGTCCAAGAGGCCCCTTGGCCTGCTGTCCATGCTGTCCACACTCCAGCTCTGGACCAGCTGGGACACCCAGCTGTATCCAGCTGAAATCAAAAGGTTCTCAGTTGGGGGTCTCTCCTCCCCCTGGTGCTCTCTGCTGTCCTGTCTACTTGTCTCCAGGCCTGGTCTTGGGCAGGCTCAGGCTGCCTCCCCTTTCCAGGGTGCTCACCCCTTATGCAAGATTGCTGGACTAGAAGAGGCACTGAAATATTCCTTAAAGAATACATGATATTTTAGAAATTCAAATTTTTTTTCAAATTAGCCAAGATTCCTTGTCATTATTTTGAGAGATGAATTAGAAAGGTACAAAGGGTAGTCAAGACATCTCTATTTTTCTAGCATCTGGATCCTCACCAGAAGCTACCGTTACTATCTGTTCCTTGAGTGTCCTTCCATAAGGTTTTACACAACTGTGTGTTTAGTGTGTTTTGTTCTCACAGCTGCACTATGCACATCGATTTGTATGTTGCATTTTTTTTTACTTAAGTCAACATTTAGTTTTTTGGAATATAATATATTATGGTTCAAAATTCAAAAGATGCAAACACATGTTTTTCCTAATAATGCTGTGTTCAGCTACCCAGTTCCCCCTGCAAGGAACAATATGTGTATATGTGCATTGTTAGCCAAAGTATCTTTAATCTTTCATTTACGCGAACAGAGATGTACTGGCCCTTGATATGTGTGTGATCCTATCTGATATCTTAGAACTAGGCAAGGGGCTTCCCCTTGCTTTTTTCCCCCTTTCTTCTCAGTCCTCTGTACAGTATACAGTGTTGAAAGGTAGAGTGAGGGTATGGGCATATTCCACATGAGGGGCTGGCAGTGAACCAAGGTGAGGCAGACATGCGGGGAGGTAACTGACTGGGCCACAGACCTAGGCCCTTGTGTATATAGTGTTAGGGCAGAGCAGTATCTAGACAGACCTTTGGGAATATATTGGGGGTATGCTGAGGGAGGGGTGAATGTGTTGGCAGCCCCGGATCAGAATGATCTGATACCACACTGCCCAGCCACCTCATGGCAAATGTGTCGAGTCACCTCCGGTTAGACGTGCTGGGCAGGGTTTCTGATGGAGATGAACCTGGCTTGTCTCAGGTGTGACTCCTGGCTTGTCCGGGTGTGCTCTGAAGAGCAGTTGCTTTGTAGTCACACTGACCTCTGCAGGGATGGAGCCTTGACATTCTCATGATCAGCATCTTGACTATCATGAGATGAAATTCATATGTAATGTAACCTGTCCACACACAACGCTAAGTAACATCACTGTGATGTCCTGCAGCAAAGGAAGACATAAAAGAAAAATGTTTATGATGAAATACATAGTATTTCAGTATCCAAATGATCAGCTGAGACTGCACTAAAAGACTCACCTGCAGATTCCCAAAATGTTTCCGGCTTAGCAGGAGCACCCCACGAGTAAGAACCATGGGACATGCCATGCTGTGTATTGCCAATGTTTTACTTCTGCATGTTTTTACTTTAGATAAGTGCAATAAAGTTCATTTCCATCTGCCATATCGATGGCAGTTCTTGGATGGAGGCAAGTGGAAGGATTTGGACAAAATGGAGCTTATTGAAGAGGCATATAGCAGTCCCAGTAAAGACAGGTATGACATACGTCACTCATGTCTGCCTTATGCTTGGTCTTTTGTGTGTGATGTGGGAAGTGTAGACACAGCAGGGTTTACTTTTCATCACACACACACACACACACACACACACACACACACACACTCTCTCTCTCTCTCTCACTCTCCCCACCCCGCCCCCCACAGACTTGTCTAGAGGTGGACACTGGGCTGGAAATTGGAAGTTAATGGAAGTTGGCAGTTTCTGGTGCCTCTCCTTTCAGGGAGGAGTTGTGGGGAAAGGAGCGTACCATATAAGTTCTGAATTACTTCTGGCTGGGATTGATCATACTCGTTAAGTGCAGAAAAGCACAAAGCTGTAGTTTGTGAAATTTTAGCCTTTGGCCTATGAAGTCATGCAGCTGAACCTCTGTTTATTGTTCCTCCTTTACCTGTTGTATTTTCCTAAGTGTGTCCCAGGATTTTCATTCACTCAGTCAGCTCAGAATAGATGAGGAGCCCTGGTAGCCTCATGTTCAAATACTTACCTTGGATTGAATTTACTGAAATAAGTTGCCAAGAAGAGAATTTGAGCCTATTTTTGAATGGGTAAAACAAATTTGTGCTTAGAGTGCTTTCAGGTGCCAGCTGTTAATGGTGAAGCAAATGAAATGAAGTATTCCCCTTGGGAGATGAAATGGCTCCTGTACCACCCCTTCCATCTCTCTCCTTGCATACACTGAAGTGCACAGATATTAGTGTGTACTTCAATGAGTTTTGACAAACCTATGCATTGTTTAGCCAACACTCCAGTCCAAGCAGAGATCATTTCCATCACCCAGAAAGCCCCTTCATCGTTCTTCCAGGCAGTACCCACCCCATATGCCACCATTCTCTGTCACCATAGATCAGTCTTGTCTGGCTTTTTGTTGTTGTTGCTGGACACATTATCTTACTTCATTCAGATACCAGCCTGATGACACATGGTCCAGGAACACTCCATAACAAGCCAGATATCACCAGATATTAAAGGCTGGTCTTCCAGCATGGTAGCCAATGAGGCCACACTTGCTTGTGATCTTGCTGAAGTAGAACCACGACAACACCTCAGTGGGTGCTGAACCATTCAGCAGATTCCTTAACGGGGAACAGTTTTCAACCACCAGTTTGAGCACCTTTGGTTGTTTTTGTCAAGCTCTGAACAGCTGTAAGCATCTCAGCAGGGGTCAGAGGAACCAGCTCAACCTTGGCAGAGTGCCAGAATGTGGCCACCCAGTAAGGCACAGCCATTCTCACTGGCACTGGGGCTTCTTCCTGAGGTTACTGACAAGTATATCACCATGAGTGGCCAACTAGTGTTGCCTGTTCTTGAACCTCATCTAAATGGACTACACTCTGACATTCATACAACAGAATCATTGGTAGACACATTTCTCAGAACATATCCTCATTGTTAAGTGATGCATGACCATACTAGTTGAAATTTTTTTCTTTCTAGTACATGGAGCCTGTTAACAATATAAAGTGATGCTTTTCACTTCTCATAATGAGTTTTTGCAGCTCTTATTAAAAGTGGTGACAAACATATTTCCACGTGTCTATTGGCCTTCTAGATATCCTCTTTGGTGAATTGTATGTTTAGACCTGTTCATTTATTAATGTTTTTTAAATTAAGTTGAATACATCTTTGTATATTTTAAATTCAACCCCTGTGTGTGTAATATGTGAATATTTTCTCTGATTCAGTGTGATATCTTTTTAATCTACTTATATTTTCTTTCACCTTGTAAAAGCTTTTTAATTTGAGATAATCCCAATTGTTTATTTTTGCTTTTATTTCTCATACTGATGGGTCAAGTCTCCAAAAACATTTTTATCATTGTTACGAAGTATAACAATAGTATTTTCTTCTATGTGTATTATTGTTGTGGGTCTTATGTCTGTCTCTAGAGAGTGCGCCATCTTCATCCTTCTACATTGTGGGTAGCCAGTTGTCTCAGCACCATTTGTTAAAGGGACACACCTTTCTCCCAGGATTTGGTCATGGCTCCTGTTTGCAGGCCATGTGGCCAGAGTGCTTGACTTAGACCCCAGCTCTCCTGTCTATTAGCAGTTTGATTTCGGGCAGGTTTCCTGACATTCCTGGGCTTCTGTTTTCCCATCTGTGAAATGGAAATAACCTCATAGAGTTATGAAGCCTTAATCCTGTAGCATGTAAAAAGCATTTCATCTCGGTCTGACGCACACAGTAAATACTCAGTGTATGTTAAGTTGTCATTTTAGGCTTGTAAGTTTTTCCCTTTCTTGCCAGGTAAGCAATATATTTTTTAAAAGAATATTTTAATGAGCATTGTCTATAGCATGAAAGGAATGTCATAGCGAGTTCATATTACCCTGATTTGATTTTTTTGCCCAGCAAAACTGACCTGAGAAAGTCAGAAAGTCTCCCTCCACGAGAACTGTTTTGTGGTATGCTGTCGCGCTCCCCTTCTCACCCGCCAGCCCGTCCTCGGGGAGACTGGCGGTGGGGACGGAGGGGCCTGTGCACCTTGGCGGTGGCGCTTCCCGTCTGTCTCTCTCATTCTGTTGCAGGATCCTTTGCGCTGAGTCTGCCAGTAGCTTTCACTTTGACTGCCTGAACTTTAACATCATGATGTTTGGCACCGCCCAGGCTCGCCGCCTCTCCACGGCCTCCTCGGTCACCAAGCCCCCACACTTCATCCTCACCACTGAGTGGGTTTGGTACTGGACTGATGAGTTTGGTTCTTGGCAGGAATATGGAAAACAGGTAAATGGAATGGGAAGGGAGTGAGGGTTTTCTCCTTCAGGCCCATGCCAGAGGAGCTATTCCAGACCCGAGCTTTAGGGTTGTTTCAGGGCGAACTTGGTAGAACCAGAGATCCCAGGTCCCCATGTGACCTGCTTGCTTTGGGGGATTATAGCAGAACTAAATTTGCTGGAGTTGACTTGTATGAGCTTCCCTTGTTGAGTGGTCAGATGACTGGGGCTTGTGAGCTGGAATGACTGCAGGTTGTAGTGAGATCACGTTTCTTTGTTGGTTTTACTAAACGGGTAGGAAGGTGCATCTCTGTTGAGCAGGTGACTCTGGAGAGAGGACCTGTGTGTGCAGGTGCATTTGTGTGGCTGTGGGATGAAATTTCAGGCTTCTCAAAGCTGGTTTTTTGCCTTATCAGTGGCAGCAAGTTTATAGATGGTGGGCATGAATAAGAATACTGATTTTAGGTATTGACTGGACATCTGAATGAATCACTGATGCTGTCAGTTATTTAAGGATGATCATGTATGGAGCAGATTTATAGGGAGACGCCCCCAATCACCTGTAGAGATAGATACAAGTATAGGAAAGTCACCATGTCTGTAGGGACTCTCTCTCCAAAATGAAAATTGGGGTCTGTGGTCTAATAGACACCTGCGTTATTCTGGGTTGTGGGACCTCTATTAAAGCATTGTTTTCTCACTCTCAGCTGCATTTGGAATGGCTTCTTTCTGGGAGCAGCGTAATGTGAGCCGCGCAAGGGCAGGGAACTTTGTCTCCCTAGGAATGCCTAGGAGGATGCCTCTCGGGGCTTAGGACACAGATACTGGCTGGTTGGAGGACAGAGTCGTGGCTGCCCCCTGCCCCATGGGTCAGCTGGACACTGCCACTCTCATCGGGGGGCCTCCCTGACTCGAACCCTTGTTTCTTGCCTCTGTTTTTTCTAGCACCAGCCTTTTCTCATCAGCTGCTCTATCTGATCTCTTTTCATCATTGCCCCTGTCTGCCTGCCTGTCTTCCCAGGCTTCCTTGCAAGTGAATTTGTTGAGGAAAGTTCTCTAGCATCACTCTGGGGTGGTTGGGAATGGGAGGGGAGAAGCTGTGGCTGACATTAAAGAGAGAGAGGGCATGACAGCTGGCCACACTTCCTGAACCAAGCCCACCTGGTGATGCTGTGCAGGGATTCAGGCGGGCGAGAAACCCTAAGCAGATATGCCATCTCTTGTGTTCGTTTCCTGATTCATCTCCTCTCTGGGGGACAAACTTTTTGGGAGCTGGTGGGATATCATGGGACCCTGGGGGCATCCTTCCCTGGCTGGCTTCCCAAACTGCGTTATCACAACTTTGGGGCCTTTCTTCTGGGACTTTCTTCTCCAGACAGCCTGCACTTAGGTTCTGTGTTTGACCATGCCCCCACACCTTCTTACAGGATAGTCAGTGTGCACAACCTCTCGTGGAACAGGAGACTCCCTGGAAACACCTCCATGTGGGTGGTGTTGGTACCACCTAGGGCATGTCTGCGAGGTGGGGTCAGTCGTGTTTAGCGCCTTTTTTCATTGTTGTAGGTTCTGCTGTCACGTAGTATATAACTTTTCTCTGGCAGGGCATGGAGCACCCTGTGACCACCGTCAGCAGCAGTGATGTGGAGAAGGCCTACCTGGCATATTGTGCACCGGGATCTGCCTCTGAAGCGGCTATCCTGAAGTTCCAGGCTGGGAAGCACAAATACGAGTTAGACTTCAGAGGTACTGCTTCCCCAGCAGAGCCTGCCACATTAACTGGGGGGATTAAAACATGAGCAGGGTGTAGTCCCTTCCTGAAGTACTGCTTGCCAGGAGGGTAGTGGTCCTGTGAACAGAAGACACCACCCCAAGGGTAGAAATGCCTGAGATGGGGGTGACAGAGGCGGGGTAAGCACCCTAAGCAAAGCATGCAGGCCAGCAGCGCCAGCCCCGCTGCAGAGGTAGTCGCCCTGGAGGTCGTGGATGCTTCCTTATCTCAGAATTGGTCCTTGACAAGGGGCTCAGCCGTGCTTGGCCTCCCACTCCCAGCGTGTTATTTCATCTTTCTGTGGGCACTTTCGGCTGGGTGCATTGCCAGGTTAGCATGTGGCAGGTAGGGCCACACGTAACTCAGTTGCCTGGATGCAGACCTTTGCCTGTGACAGGTACACAGGCTGACACACTGGGCATGTTTTTCCAGTGTTCAAGTTGTGGGAATTTTTTTAAGTTCTTATTTTTATGTGGCTTCTCTTCAGCCTTTCCTGCATGGATATATCAGTCCAGCCCTGTTCAGTTCAGTTTAGTCTTTAAATTCATATTTCAAGCTCTCAGTCCTTCTGAGGGATAAACATGTTGTAAGGGAACTAAGTGGGCCTTCCTTTAAACACAACATCCTGTGTGCTCTACTTTCTTCTGGACCTTTGTTCCATGTGGAGGGCAGCAAAGGGTCTTTTTTGTCCAAAAACTGCTGTGACTGCTTGCTGTGAGCCACTTGGTTTTGCTCAGGGTTTGGTAGCCCTTGCGGGTTAGCATGAGGTCGGCTCGCTGCCACCCTTTGTGCCCTCCTCAGGATCCTAAGCTCTTCTGCTTCAGAGCAGAGTTTCAGGCGCCCGCTGCAGAGCACCAGCTGCCTGAGTCAGTGTCACCAGATCCATCGCACTCTGGTTCATAATGGTTTGAAATATTCCTTTTAAATATTTGGGAACTATCGAAATAAATAAGCCAAGAATGTCAGCAGTGCCCCGTGCTGCCCCCATCTCCCGGGACGGAACAGTAAACCAAGCATAGGAAAGATATACACATGCTGCTTGCTGGCAACTGCAGGGAAAATCCAAGTGTGTTAGGTGACCACCAGAGCTCAACCTGGGCACAGGTCTTTTATTTTATTTTTTTTTTTTTAATGTGAGGGGTTAGATACCAGCAGCCACAGAAGTTTCAGGTGAGTTACCCGGTAGTGAGGTGCTGAGGGCTTATGATGGAAGCATTTCTCAGACCCAAACCTGCCACTCATTTATCGACTAAGCCAATTTGAGGAATGCACATATACAACAGGTCATATGACTTGTTCTGTAGGGCCGGGGATGACTCAGCTCTGTCCTTGGAGAGAATCTTGTCTCAACACAGTTATTCAAAACAAATATGCAGATTCCAGAGGCAGAATTCTGACATGAGCTGCATCCAAAGGACAAAATCCCTAAGGGCAGAGCTTATTTAGGGATTTAGCCTAGCCTGTGCCCTCTTTTAGGGTGGGGGAGAAAGGCCTCAATTTACCTTGGGGCCCACGTACCTTTGCCAGTCTGTATATCATGAATAACTAATTTCATGAAGACCTGTTTGAGATGTTAGGCAATAGGCCAGTAAAAACCCTAGGAGTTTGCTAATTGGCAGCATATCTGTGGCAGGTTGAGTGTGGATGACAAAAGGGGTTGTGGCAGCCATGTCTAGGTTTTGGGCTCCCCAATAGGACATGGGGAATCCCAGGAGTGCCCTTTCTTGCTGAATAACCTGCGCTACATAGAAGACACACACTTAGGCTCAAGTTGAGGTAAGGAATAAAACTTTACAGATTGTAATAGTAAAATGCTTTCTAAATTAAAAAAAAAAAAAAAAGATTTTATGCTTAAGTGTAGCAAGTGAGACTTGACAGGGTTTTCCTGGGGATGTGTAATCTATTTTGTATTTAAACTTTTCCCCAAGGAGCAGTGTCCACCACACTGAGAAGGAATCTGAGGATCTTGAGGTGGGAGTGTGGCAAGGAAGGTACAGGTTTAAAGAGATGGAGACATCTATTGAGTCAGCTTAGTCAAACTGAGGGAAAAATGTCGTGAATGAAATTAGATTGATTCCAACTCCCACTGACTTAAGATGTGGTAATTCGGTCTCAGACTGAGCTGAAGCTTTTTTATATCCAATCTGGGAAAAATTGCTAAGCAAAATAATAGTTTAAGCAAGATTGGAAGGAACAATTTAAAAGCACTCATGTATAATTGATATGTCAATTACTAATCATTCATCTATTCATTAAACTCAGTCTCCTAAGGATGCCTATTTTCTTTATGAATATTTGAAATGTCTAAAAACTGCCTTATTTTAAACAGATTGATTCTGGCTTTCCACATTGAGATTAGCTTTCCACCCCTTTTAATTTGTGTTTGTAAAACATCACTGTCCTGTGTGTGTATGTATGTATATGTAATATGGGTTTTTTTTTCTCCAGCCTTTGTTCAGAAAAACCTGGTCTATGGCACCATCAGAAAGGTTTGCAGGAGACCCAAATTTGTGTCTCCCCAGGATGTGAAGGTGAAGCAGACCTGGTAGGTGTTCTCTTTGGGGCACTTAGTACTTTATGTGTGTCCATTGGGGTGTGCATTCTGCACATAGGAAAACTTGCTATGTCAAAAAGTGGGCAGAAGCGCTAAAAAGACACTTCTCCAAAGAGGAAATGCAGATGGCCAACAGGCACATGAAAAAATGCTCAGCATCACTTATAGTCAGGGAAATGCAAATCACAACCACAAGTGCAAATCATAACCACCTCACACCAGTGAGAATGGCCCACATTAAAAAAAACTAACAACAAATGCTGGCGATGATGTGAAGAAAAAGGAACCCTTTTACATTGCTGGTAGGAATGCAAACTGGTCCGACCACTATGGAAAGTTGTGTGGAGGACCCTCAAATTAAAAATGGAGCTAACATATGACCCAGCAGTTCCACTCCTAGAAATCTACCCAAAGGACACAAAACATTAATTCAAAAGGAAACCTGCACTGCTATGTTTATTGCAGCACTATTTACAATAGCTAAGATATGGAAGCAATGCCCCAAAACAGATGACTGGATCAAGAGGATGTGGTATATATATACAATGAAATATTACTCAGCAATCAAAAAAGGTAAACTCATGCCATTTGCAGCAACATGGATGGAGCTGGAAGGGATTATGCTCAGTGAAGTAAGATGGAAGGCAAAAAAAACTATCGGATGGTATTTCTTATAGGAGGAATATAAGGAAACCAACATAGGGTAAAAAAAAAAAGACAAAACTTGCAGGCAACTGATGCTTAAAGCAGGGGAGGGGGAGGAAAAAGAATCAAAACGGGAGGGAAGAGCACAAGGGACCATGGTGATGGTTATAGGTGATGTGGTGATGGATATTGATAGAGATTATACCTGAGGGGAGAAATCAAATACTGTAAAAATATGAACAATGATGTACAAAGAAACTGAAAAATTGATGAACGCAGGGGGGGCGGGGGCCGGGGAGAAAACCTGCTGTGGACTGGTGGGAGCCCCAAATGGGACTTGCGCCTCAGCACGTCCCTGCATCTCCTGCCCTCGTCTGCGTGTGTGTACTTCCCCTCACGCAGGACCAAAGAGCTGTGGTGCTTGTCTGTGTTTCCTGGAAGAGCTGAGAGCTCACAAAGCTGAGAGTGTACACTCAGCACACTGCAGGCAGATAAGTATTAGCATGGATGAAGAAACAACAAAATACAGTGTAAATTTATAAAAAGATGAATGCTAGGTATGTTATTCTAATGATGCACGTGCAATTAATAGAGCATGAAGGGAACAAACCAGACACAAGGAAAAAGACCCAAGACACTGGGGAAAAAAGGCACATAATTGGGCATTCTAATTTTCAGTGTGTCAGTGGTGTTCCTGAGTCATGAGGATATTCTCATATAGATTTCTCCAAAAGCCAAAGTTCTTCCTGACTCTAGACTTATTCAGAGCATAGCGAGGAAGTCGTAACAGTCCAGTGCCTGATGTTTTCTCTCCATCTCCAAATGATTGTATCTACTGTGTCATAAGTTGGGGCCGAGATTTTTGAACAACTCTTTGAAATTTTCTGTTGTTTGTTTTGGTTTTTTTAAAGTCAGATTTTTTATTGTTTTTTTTAATCAAAGCATTTAAGTTCTTCTTTGTCCTCTAGTCGCTGGCACCTGACTGCTCTGCAGTCCCCCGGCGCCTGTGGTTCACATTGCCCAAGCACTCAGGCCTTGTAGGCCTCATGGGTGGGAGAGTGTGCTGTCATTTCAGTTTGCTTTCTGATATGGGTGAGATTTAATATTTTTTCCTAACATGTATCTGCCGTTTATGTTTCTTTTTCTATGGATTATTTGTCTTTTGCCCATTTTTCTATTAACTTTTTATTATTTTTCTTAAAATATTAGAAAGGGTGTCTGACCTGGGTTTGTTGTATTTGTTCTTGGTCAGTTAAGTCACTTTGCCTGTATTCATGCAGTGCTGCGGCAGACAGCAGGAGCTGTGACTGGATTCAGTCAGCTGTCTTGGTCTCGCCTGTGTATTGCTGAGGAGTTAGAATTTTCTCCACTGTGCCGGCTCCTACTTGTTGTGGATGTCCTTTTCCTGCTCATAGCCCACCTAGGGGAAGCTTGAAAAAAAATCTGTCTCCTTTTTCAGATGCGATCTTTTTTGTTGTCACTCTTAAGTCTTCAGGGTGTCATGTTATTTCATGACAGAAATAAAGGTGAGTATTTGGTGAATTCCAGGGACGATGCGAGGGATTATTGAGCTCTGTCGCCTCTGACCCCCGCTCTGTGGTTCCTCCCTCTGTGGCGGCAGCCATGGGCATCCTAACTCCAGCCAGCAAGTCTGCTTGGGTCCCTAGCGGGAACGCCCATGGTGGGCGACTCGGGAACAACTCTCCTTGTACCGTTAGAGGGGTCACAGAATAGGAGCTGCTGCTTCTTACAAGACAGGACTTCAAAATGGCGCGTGTGCACCAGGTATCTGTGCTAGTTCTTTACCATCCTCCCATCCTCTGTGACAATACTTCATTCATGTGATTGGGTCTTCTTTTTTTTTAATGTTCCAGATATTTTTGGTCATTTCATTCCACTACTCCCTCCCCCACACCCACTAGTTCGGCAGTTACACACTGTGTTGTAGGAGGCGTGCTGGAGGTCACGGCATGCGCGCTGCGCTTAGCTATGTCACCTCATTGCATGTGAAGTGCAGTGTTAGCTTCCTCTCAGCTTCTCAAATTTCATTACTGTTATTTTCAAACAAAAATGAACGTGTCATTCAGTTTACTTACATTTTTTTCTACTTTATCTTTTCAAATTTCCTTAGATGAATGATCTGTTGGGACTGTCTTGGTTAGCCTGCCTATGGCTTTATTTTGCCCTCCATCTTGAAAGACATCTTCACTGGCTGTGGAATTTCGGGTTGTAGTTCTCGTCTGTGAGAGCACTGAAGACTTGCCTCTGCTGTCTCCTGCTGTGGAAACTCGCTGTCTGTCTGACTGATGCGGCTTTGCCAAAATCCCACTTTGTCCTTTGTTGTCCTTTGGCCGCCTCTAAGATTTCCCATTTGTCTTGGTGTTATGCAGTCGCCCCGGGGCGTGTGGGGTGTGTGTGTTCATCCTGTCAGAGTCTCTTCGGGCTGCTTAACTCTGTGGGCTGGTCCGTCTCATTCATTCTCTTTGAAAATTGCTTCCACCTGTTCTCTCTCTGGGGTTCCGTGACCCTCTCACCAGATTCATCACTTCTCACTCTTCACCACGTCCTAGCTCCTCCCTCCTCCCCTTTCCATTTCCTTATTGCTCTGTGCCTCACTCTAGGTAACTCCACTCCCCATGTCCTCAGCTCACCAGCCCTCTCGCCTGGCGGACTGACCTGCCAGCACACCTGTCCAGTCACCAGCCAGGATTGTGTCTTTCAGTTTCAGAAGCTCAAGCTGGTTCTTTTTCAAATCCTTTAGATCTTTTGATAAAGAAGTTTTCTCTTTCTTGCAAAGTTTGTATTTTATTTCTTTAAACATGAGAAGAATAATTTGTTTAATAATCTGATAATTTCACTATCTTAAGTCTTGGTGGGGCTGTTTCTTGCTTAGTTGGGACTTTGCTTAGTTAATTTTAAACTGTGCCATTTTCTTTGGAATGTTATTTCTGGTAGTTTCTGGAGGCTTACAATGAAGGTACAGCAGGTCTTGACAGCAAAAACAAGGTAGAGCTATTGTAGAAAGAACAGAGCATTCTGAAAAGGAGCAGGAATGATCGGGAGTTCTATTTTCACAGCCCTTATTGCTTAGGCCTTTGGGCCATTTCTCTCTTCAAACTCAGCTTATATTTATTTAATTTTAGAAAGATCACACATACAATGCTATGTTACGTGACACCCTGTAATTACCCATGTTAATATTTCTGCAGTAAAAAATATGCAGTCACTTTAAAAGGGACCTTTTAGAGACCATAGATTGACTCTTAGCAGAACAAATCAAGTCTCTACCAGCAAATGAGTTTGGACATCAATTTTATGTTTTTAAAAAAATGTTATTGTATGCCAGTTATACCTCACTGAAGTTGTTGTGGGGGAGTAGTTTCAGAGCTCTGAATTTCACTCTTCTGGGGAAGGGTCTGAGTGAGTTGCTTTCATCTCGTGCTCTCTCCTTTCCCTGCAAGTTGGGATGCCAGGGAGAAATGAACCCTCAGGCCTAATTGTTCAGTTTTGATCACATAGGCAAAGCTGGAGGCGCCCTCATGCAGTGGATATTGTGGTTTCGTGCTTCTTCGCCTTCCCTGTGCTTTTATGGGATGCAATGCAGAGACTCAGATGGGGTGTCTGCGAGGGGTGGCTACCTGTCATAGACTTGCTTATCTCAGAACAGAGTGTCTCAGTGTTTTTGTTTACATTTGGTAGTGACGTCAAGTTGCAAGGCCCAAAGAACATCCCAGATCATTGGGACCTGTCGGCCCTGCCGGACCCAGGCTTTAAGGTATGGGACTCTGGTGACTTCAGGCTGGCATAGAGGGTGTTTTTACACGTAGGTGAGGTGAGCAGCTAAAGAAGCTACCAGTCCAGGGCTTATGGGGGAGGAGGACAGAGTTGTCTGTGGGTTTTTTTTTTTTTTTTTAATACTTATTTTTACAAGCACTGGGTACAGTCAGAAGCGCGGGAGGGTGAGAGAATTCACCAGAGCCAGAGCAGGGAACAGAACAGGCAGACTGACAAAATATACTGCTGAGGGGAGCAGCGGGCGTGGCAGAGGTGGTCTGTCGTGCCATGTGGGACCCTCGCCGGCAGCTGGGGATGGAACCGGCACTGCAGAAGCTGCGGGCAGCTTCGCAGCCCAGCGCTCAACCGCTGCGCCACCAGGGGAGGCCCTGTTTTGTTTTTTTTAAGGTCTTGGAGATCTTAATTCTGAATGACCATCTGGGAGATGATGGTGGTCCTGAGGGGAGGATGTGTTGTGGGAGAAGGACTGTGAACTGGATATATCCTGTAAGAGCAGGAATAAGGAGCTTAAGAATTACTTAGCCCATAAACACTAACAAAGCAAGAAATGGAAAATAGGCAATATGAGTATGATGAAGGACATTGAGGGGGGAGGGGATGAAAATTGCTGTTGGAAAGTGCTAGCTACTAGAAGACAAGAAAAGGAACGTTAGTTCAAAGCTCATGTAGCGCCTGCTGGCTCTTGGAAGCCAGGCTGAGTGTGGTCAAGTCCTCAGGACAGTGTGGCCCCGCGCACGTGGCCACTTGACTCGCTTTTCTTGTTGGCCTGTCGCCAGACATTGTACAAAAACTGGTTTCTGGGACATGACAGTCCCTGTCCTGGGAGGCCGCATCTTGAACTGAATGAAGCACATAGACAGCAACAGCACAGGCAGGACGGGAAGACAGGCAAGTCCTGAGAGGTGTCCACAGGCGCCAAGCTGAAGCTGCTGCGCCCAGGGCACTGGGGAAGCATCACTGGTCCACACCTGCTGGTGCTCTGACAGGCAGAGGTGGGAGGAGCTGCACGGGGAAGGAGCACAGCTCAGGACGCAGGATGGAGGACGTGGGCCTTGACAGGTATGGGGCTCTGGCCAGTCCCTGGGCTGGGAGGGCAGGGTTGGTTCTGCACTTGAGGGAGAGGAGTGTGGCCACGTCCCCTGAGCGGGGGACAGGGAAAGCAGAGTCAGAATTTGAGTTGCAGGAAACCTAAGAACGTTTCTCTGGGGAGAGAGGGGGTGGTTATAGCACTGACTTGGGGTAGGGGAAGGGTATGACATAGAGGAACTTCCCAGGGATCCCCAAAGTGGCTGTACTATGCTCAGCCTGGTGGAGGCAGAAGCACGGAATGGGTTGGGGTGCAGGCTGCTCCTGCAGGAACAGGTGGATTGTCACCTAGTGTGTGGTAAAGATTGGCTGCTTTGGTCAGGGCTCCCCCAACCCTGTCAAAAGACGCTAAGGGGAAGGCAGGCCCAGCTGGGGGGAACAAACAGCTAGGCTCCTGGGTTGCTCTGTGCCCATCTGCCAGCCTGGCCTCTGCCCCAGGCTGTGATATGGGTGCTCATGTAGAATAGCCTCCATGAAATGAACACCCCCACCCCCGAGGAGATTGGCCCTCCTCCACCCAGTGCATGTGCTCCGCTTTATTGACATCAGCTGTGGGGTCTTGCGGACTGTGTGGTCTGAGCCGTGTGGGTACAGAGAAGGGTAGGGACGTCCAGGGTGTGCTGGCATCAGATGACATGTCCGTCCTTCAGCAAGTCTCACAGGGAATCCAAGGGAAGTGCGTAAAATTGCTCCAAGGGGTAACCCTTGGTGTATGGTGACTACTGTCGGGGCTTCCTGGCAGTTTTAACATTTTCTGAGCAACCTTTGGAAGTTGCTGATCTGGAGCCTACACTTCAACAGTAACAGTGAAAATCTTCGCCCCTTGCAGAAGATTGCCCTCAGCTTGTCCTCGGAGGAGTACCAGAAGGTGTGGAGCCTCTTCAACCACACCCTGCCCAGCTACTCTGTGCAGAAGATCGAGCGTGTCCAGAACCTGGCCCTTTGGGAAGTCTTCCAGTGGTGTGTGGGGGCTTGCTCTCAGGGGGTTGGTGACTCACGTCCGTGGGAGGCTAGTAGCTTAGTGACTGTGCCCCGGGCCTGGGGGCCATCCTGGGTAGTGGGCACACTATCAGGAATTGGGTCCTGCCTTCCTACAGCTCATCTTGGCAGCTGAGTGCACTGAGGCCTCCCGGTAACAGAGCCCGCACCCACCCTCGCCTCCTGTCTCCCTGAAGATGACGGGACTGGCTGCCCTGGGAGCATAGGCCCCTGTCATGCAGCCAGGGTGCCAGGGCCTTGTTTTTATGCTTAAGGACTGGCATGTACTTAGATACCCAGGCACATGTGTGGGGAGCAGACACTCATGAGGTCACCCTGGTGGGCCTAGGCTCCTGCTGACCTGTCCCCACAGGGGGTGGAGCAGTACCATCTGTTCTCTGCGCCCAGCGATGATGTCAGGATCACTTGGCCCAGGAGAGGGAGGATGACCCCCCCCCCCCAGCCCCCAATCCGTGTCTGAGACCTGGCCGAGGTGGTGGGCAGGCTGCTGGCTCCTGGGACAGGTCTGCTGTGGGAGTTCAGGGAGCCAAGGGGGGCCTTGCGCTGTGGAGGAGTAGGGAGCCTCTTGCCACCTCCCCACCCCAGTTGGTGGCAGGAGTCTCCTGACTCAACATTTTTGGTCACGTGTCTCTTCTTGGCCTGGGTGACCTGTGTAGTGTGGTCCCCCCACCCCCCCGCCTCCCACCCACTTTCCTCTCTCTCTTGTGGTTTTAGGCAAAGAGGGCAGATGCAGAAGAGAAACGGAGGGAAGACGGTGGATGAGAGGCAGCTGTTCCACGGCACCAGTGCCAGCTTTGTCGATGCCATCTGCCAGCAGAACTTCGACTGGCGAGTCTGTGGGCTCCACGGCACATCCTACGGCAAGGGTAAGGGGATGGCGGGACCATTTGAGAGCAGGCAGCTGTGAGGTGAGGGGTTGAGCCAGCTCAGGCTCAGGAGTAATCTCCAGGCCTCTGTGGGGACACCCATGGTTGGCCCCCAACTCTCAACTCCTGAATGTGCAACTGGCTGTCCCACCCAAAATTTGAGCAGGGGTGGCCCTGCTATGACTGGGGCTTTGCTTCCCTGAAGAGTTGGGCCTGTGTCCCTGCTGAGTGACAGCCCCAGAAGATGGTGAGTGTCAGGGAAGCGGGTGCCTCCGCCTGCGAGTCAAATCCCGAGACTGACCGTACGCTGTTTTCTTAGAAGGCGGTGCACCTTGGACACACTTGTGTGGCTGTCATCCAGCTACCACGTGGGTTATCTGAGTGTCTTCCTGTCTCCTGGTTATTATTTTTTAAAGGTTTATTTTTATTTATTTATACAAGCACTGGGTACAGTCAGAAGCACGGGAGGGTGAGAGAATTCACCAGAGCCAGAGCAGGGAGCAGAGCAGGCAAAAGGACCAAAGCACACCGCTGAGGGGAGCAGCGGGCGGCAGGAGAGGTCTGTGCGCCATGTGGGACCCTCCTCCGGTGGCCGGGGAGCAGCTGGAAATCAAACCGGCGCTGCAGAGGCTGCGAGCTTCTTCGCAACCCAGCGCTCAACCACTGCGCCACCGGGGAGGCCCCTCTCCTGGTTATTTTTAAACCTTATTTGGAAATAATTTCAAAGGCACAGGAAAGTGGCAAGAGTGTGGAAAAATTCTCATGCATAGATCTCACCTGGACATTCTTAGCACTGCGCCTCATTGGCCTGAGCACCCCTTTTGTTTTCCCTGAACCATTGCAGGCAGGTGGCACCTGTCGTACCATCCCCCCATCACACTCCCTCAGAATAGGGTCTCGTCTTCTGTAAGTGCAACCTGGCTACCAGACCAGAAAATTTGCTAACGAAGCACGCTGTAGTCAGCTGTCTCTCTTCCCACCCCATCCCTTGTCCATCAGCTTGAACCCCATGGGGAATTGTGGGGTCAAGATGGACAGGGGCCAGCGGTGCGTGATGGCAGCTTTAGCTCAGGGCCTGTTTGACAGGGTTGATGCTGCCAGGCTTTGGGCTGCCGTGTCTTGGTTACTGTCCACCAGCCCTTAGTTGGGCACTAAGCCCCCTCTTACAGGTGAGGAAGCTGAGGCCCAGAGGTTTAATGAGTGAGATGCTCAGAGACCCTCAGCATTGGGGTAACAAATACCAAACATGGAAGTGTTATGTCCTGGAGTTTGGGGCCCTCTTTGCCCTCCGGGAGGGAGAAGCTGGAGCAAGGAGGAGGACAGAGGTGGTGACGGAGGCGTGGAGGCCATCGGCCTGACCTGGTTGACTGGACGCTGGTGTGTCCTCTGCCCGCATCAGGCTGTCCTTCTGGGGCCCCCGCTGAACCGCGTGTGTCCTTGCAGGAAGCTACTTTGCCCGGGACGCCGCGTATTCCCACCACTACTGTAAGTCCGACACAAAGTGCTACACCATGTTCCTGGCTCGGGTGCTGGTGGGCGAGTTCACCCGAGGCAGCCCCACCTTCCTGCGCCCCCCCGCCAAGGAGGGCCAGGGGGACCTCTTCTACGACAGCTGCGTGAACAGTACGTCCGACCCCTCCATCTTCGTGATCTTCGAGAAACACCAAGTGTACCCTGAGTATGTCATCCAGTACACGACCTCGACCGGCTGCTTGGGAGCCGGGGCCACAGTCCCACCGCCCGGCTCCTCCAACCTGCTCTCCTTGGCCTCCCTGGCCTCCTTCTTCGGCGGCCGGCAGTGAGCTCGCGGTGGGGGCGTTTCGGGCCTTTCTGGCGTGTCTTCCTTGCAGTAGCTGTTCAGGAAAGCGCTGTTTTGCTTTTAACAAAAAACTTTTAATGAACTGTTTAATGTTGACTTCCCAATGAAGTTATAGTCTTTATCTCGCTGACCATAGTGTCCACTTTTAAGTCATTTTGGGCTCGCTGGTGATGTGACTGGTGGTGATTGTAGAGGAGCCCGTTACTGCCTTTTACTAGGATGTTCGGGTTTTATTTTGTACTCTGTTGACTTTGTGGCTGATGAGCACTAGGCACAGAGTTTCTAGATTTTATCGATTGATTTTAATTTTTAAGAGTTTCTGTCTCTTTAGTGATTTACTTTTTGGGGGTGTCAGTGGGCTCTATTTTTGTCCAAATGATGAAGTAGCCATTGGTGAGGAAAACTTCTCTGTGGGGCCCAGGGGAGCATGGGCCCTTGTGTAGCTGTGCTGCCTCTCCTGGGCTTCTAGACTTGGAATTGGCCCTTAGATCACGTGGCCAGACAAATGGCTATGGGAGGTGATCAGCGAGTCCCTGCAGGCTTCCTTGGTCCTGGGCTGAGTCCGTGTCATCTAGAGGAAGCCCGTTCAACTGGCAGGTGACAGGGACCAGTGGCTCCCCAAGATTCTGGGGCTTGACCCATGAATAACTGTCCCTGCACCTCCTCAGCACACAGGACACCCTCTAAAAGTGGTTTTATGTCCCCATGAGATGTGGCCACCTGTGCTGCAAATGTCACAACAGAGTATGGAAATAAAAGAGTATTTATCTAAAGGGGAGGTGCTGCTCGTTATTCAGCGTCTGTGCAGTGAGCACCTGCCGGGTGCCGGCTCTTTTGGGGTGTAACAGGGCACTTGGCCTTGCGGGTTGTGTGTGGATGTGTCACCAGGCCAGCAAGCCCGAAAGTTCAAGGTCCTTGCTTGCTGGGGCCTCTTCCCAGCCCGAGGAGGAGCGCCAGGCATATGGCCACATGATGATACGGTTTGATAAGCTGTGTAGAAGTTACACACTTGGGGTTTTTTTCCTTTCCTGCTAAACCACAGACCCCACAAGCCCCAGATTCACTGTAAAGCAAACTGTTGTAGATACGGTGGTTTCCCTGGGTGTGTCTTCTGCACACAGCAGTTTATGGTCGACTTGGCTGGTAGGGCAGCTGCACATCCCAAGGTCTCTGCCCCTCAGGTGATAGCATCTGCCACCTCCCCTTTTGGACCTCAGTGGCTCCCTGCCTGTGCCCCATCTTCCTAATCTTTCACACTGTGTCCACTTCAGCTGCTTTGTCCTCAGACCTGGAGCAGGAGTAGGGGTGGTCGGGGACCTGACATAGGTCAGCCCGAGATGTGTGAGGCCCGATGTGTGAGGCCACTGGAAGAATGGAGAAGCGACATGGATCCCGCCTTCCACACCAGCAGGGCCAGCCACGAGTGCGTGGCGTGAAGCTTCCCCCGTCCTGAGCCTGAGATTTCATGCACTGCTTTCCATGAAGTCCCCGGGCCTGCTGCACTTCAGTGGGGGTAGGGGCTGGAGCCCGGCGAACCATTAAATCAGGTGCTTGCTGCTAAGACTCAAATGTAATGAGGGCCCCCATCTGGCTGGCCGTCGGTTGCACGTGCCGGTGCGGTGCGAGGAGGGTAAGCAGAACTGCTGAGCTTGAGGACTGCGGGGGTGGGGGGGGGGGGTGGGGGGGTGGGCCGGGACTTGCTGCCTTTCAGAAAACCAGCCAGGAGGAGCAACTGTTTGCGCCAGAAAGCGAGAGGGACCATGGGCCCAGAGGCGGGGAGGGGCAGGCATTGTGAGCAGAGGTCAGATGACCCTAAATCTCAGAATCTTGGTGCCAAGAGCTGGTGGGGTCTGAGCCTGTGTGTGTGAGAAGAGTGATGGGTGAGGGGGCTACCAAGAGGTGGCGAGGACCAAGTTGAAATGCAGCTGACAGGTTTTGGGGGGAACCGAGGGGCTGTTCCCTGCTATTTTCTGCCCTGTGTCAGCTGGCGTGAGCATGAGCAGTGGGACTGGAGCTAAGTTAGGGATCGTGGGTTGCAACGCCGAAAGGACCAGGAGTCCAGAGGGTCTTTCCCCTCAGGAAGCCTCACCTCTGTCTGGACACAGTGACCACCTGGACAGAGGTGGGGGAAACCCCACCGCTGATGGGCGGGGCTGGGGTGTGAGGAGCAGAGCTGTGCTCCCAGCAGGGAGCTGGCTGCTCACTGGGCCTCTCTGCAGAATGAGGTTCTGCCACGGCAAGGGGCAGGGATCAGGGCAGGGTGCAGTGGCTGTAGTCACCACGGGGGGCAGCAGGGGTGCAAAGAGGACTGACTGTGTGAGGGGCTGGATGGATTTCCAGGGAATGGGCAACTCTTGGACTGGGGTGGTGCTGGGGAGCCAGTCTGCCTCTTTCTGGGAATCCAGGCAGAGAAGGGGGACTTCTAGCCTGGGCTGTAGACCAGACAGCAGAGGTGGTATTCACAGCCGTGGGTTTGTGGAACCCTAGAATGGTCTGACTGTCTTGAAGAGGGTCAGCTCCTAGATCCCTGGTGTGGCAACATTCATCCCCTTAACGCTGCTCACATCTTAACCAGGAAGGGGGTCTTTGATCTAGGTGGCTGCCAGGTTTTACAAATGAGGAAACTGAGGCTTGAGGAGGTGGAATGATGAGCAGCCATGACCACACGGTTGCTGGTAAGGGAGCAGCAGCTTCAAGTTGCAAGTTCTTTGTTAAATTTCAGCTACTCAGCAACGTAATAATTACTTTGACTAAAAATCTTCTGTGTTTTGATTCTTTGAGTCTCTCTAGAAGAAAAGCATGCTGCAGCCTCTGTCATTTTTCTGTATGCTGAAGTTTATTATAAAGTTAGCAACCCCCTAACCCCTGCCCTCACCCCCCACCCCTCCCCCTGAAAAGGAAAGCGCAATAAAGCTTTGAACCCCTGCTGAGGCTGAGTAGCTGGGGATCTTCACTTTCAGACGCACCAGAAGCTGCCTGTGCGTGGTGCCTCCCATCCTGCGGCTGGGTGTCTTTCAAAACAAGTTCTCGGGCTCTTTGTCAAAGCATTTGATATTTGAGTCGACAAGTCCTCCCTGGAGCTGTTCAGTAGTCCAGACACCATGGAGGAGGCCCGGCTAGGTGCAGCAAATGTTTGTGAAGTATTTAGGAAACGCTACATTGAAAGGGGCCATGCACCCTTTCAATTGCTTCTGTGATGCTTTTTTCTAAAGTCCCGAATTTCCACGTAAGTGTTCTCTTTGAATTTGGGGGTGCCCTGGCAACACTGTGTCAGCGGGGGACAATCTTGATGTAGACGCCATTTTTTGGACCTAGGGCAGATTTGGATTCTAGCTGCAGCGGTACCTAAAATAGAGTGAAAGATGTGTCACAGTTCACAGTATCTACAGACTGGAAAGCAGATTGGTTCTGAAGCGGGGCTGTGGGTATGGGGCTGTGGGTATGTGGGCTGGGGATAGCTGGCTAGGAGGGAGCAAATAGCTTCCCCAACTGGGAGTTTGAGAAGCAGCAAGGGGGCTGGGCAGTCTCCCCTTCCTGCTCTAGGGAAAGACTGCAGGCCTGTGAACGAGGGAGAAGTCACTCACTCTGCAAATGAAGACATGGAGGTTCAGACAAGGGACTGGTCCAAGGTCACATGACTAGAAAGTGGAGAGGAAAGCCTGACACCCAAACTTCACCCTGCCAGTCTCTCACTGCCCTGCTCAAGGGGTAATTGAGCGGACCCCTCTTTCCAAAGGGTTTTGGGGTGAGTGGCCACCTACTGGTCCCTGTTCATGCATGCCCTGACCCCACTGCTGTTCAGGTGCATCTAAGAAGCCCATCCATGTGGACGAGGGCTTGGAAGAAACGCCAGATGACCCAGGAAGCCCTGAGCTGACAAACCCCTCAGACCATTCAGTGGCCAATGTGAACCTTGAAAGAGAACACCAGGCTGTAGTGCTGGGGCCTGATTGGCTTTTTAGATGTCCTTGGGGGTTACAGTTCAGAAAGGGACATGAGTTATGTGTCCCAGAAACAAGGTCTACCCCTGCACTGTCCGGTCCTGTAGCCACTCTAGCCTGTGGCTACTGAGCACTCAAAATGGTGAGTGCAAATGAGGGGTTGAGTTTTTTATTTATCATTAAAATTTAAATAGTCAAATGTGGTGAGTGACTACCTATTAGATAGATCAGGTCTAGACAACCCTGAAACATCGTAGGACGTCACAAACCAAGGAGAGGTCAGTTGGAGCTGGCAATATCAGGGAGGGCTTCCTGGAGGAGCTGCTGCTGGGGGGAGGGGCTGGGAATGGGAGAAACTGTGAGGAGGACTTCTCTGGGGCCACTTTAGGATTTGAGGAAATCCTCCGGGTTCAGACAGGATTAGTCCAGGGGCAGGAGAGACAGCCCAACGGGCAGCTGCCCGAGCAGGCAGGGAGGAGCCTGTCCCGGAGTACAGAGTGGACTTGGCACTCGTTGGTTCTTGAACTGGGAGTGCCCGGCATCAGCATTGTTTCAGGACCTTGCTGTCCCTGCTGCCCTGTGTCACGATCAAGGGTAAATGAGACAAACCTTGGGGAAGCCCTCCACACGTGGAGCACCTTAGGCAGTGAGGCAGGGAGGGGGCTCCCCCCTCCACGCCTTCATCGGGGCAGTGCGCTTAGTGTGCCCCTCCCTCTTTCTGGCCTTGACTGACAGAACTTTGTGGGCATTTGCCCATCCAGTACCTCAATCTTTTGTACCCCAACCAGATACATTACCCCTTTGGAACCCCCGGCCCATCCCAGTCTCCTTGTTTGTCGGGCAGTGCCCCTCTGAACCTAGAATTTGCAAGGACTGGGGTGCGCACCTCTGTGTCTGGCCAACGGGGCTCACCTGAGTCTCAGAGCAGGCTTCAAAGTAGAACTTGCGCAGGACGTGGAGCAGTGTCAGCTTGACCTCCAACAGCCCCAGCCGCACCCCAAGGCAGCTCCGGGGACCCGCCCCGAATGGCAGGTAGGTGAAGGGCCTTCGGCGCTGCTGGGCCTCGGCTGTGAACCTGCAGGGCGGCACGGTCAGGCTGGACCTGGACCCCGGCCTCCATTCCTGGGGCCTCTTCAGCCACTGGGTCCGGCTGAGGGACCCCTTCATCTGAGACCACCTTGGTCAACAAAATCCTATTTTCTCATGGACCGGTCCTTAAGACTCTGGAGCTGGTGACTCCTGATGCTTGAACTCGGGTGCAGCACACCTCCTGATTTGCAAAGCCCTAAAGGCACTGCTGAATTAAAAGAATCACCTGGAATGTCAACGTCGCCCCCAAGCCTCTTAAGAATCCCTGGCGGATCGGATCGATGAGCCTGGTTAATGATGAGCATGGTCAATGAGCCTGAGGCTTGCTATCATCCAGAAAGGTAAGTCTCAAAGAAACCACAGGCCCCACCTGCACCCTGGGCTCCGGACTCCCCCAGGGCTGAGGTTGATGCCAGCCTTCACCCACTTCCTCAGCAGACTCGGGGGGCATGAGCCCTTCTCGCTGGCTATCCCTGGAGGCTGCATCCAAGCCACACTGGCCAGCTGTCCCCCCAAACCACATGGTCTTTCTGGTTCAGGCAGTGAAACTTGAACCTCTGGGGATTGCTGTACTTGAACCCTTGAAGCCCTTCCTAGGAACTGCCTGTCTGCAGCCAAGTACAGCATTCCCCACGGAGCTAGCTGACCACCTCCATCCAGCTCCCGCCTTGCTGCTACTAGAATTTTCTGGGCCCAAGGAGGCCTTGGCCCACCCTTTTCATCACTATATTAACCCCCTTTTTGTTGTCAAAGATGATGCTCTTTGATAGGACTTAATCTTGACAGTGTTTCCAGGAGTTGTGCAGAATTACTATGATCTAGGCCCATGCCCTACCCTTGCCCGATCAGACCAGGAAGGAACAGCCACCAGTCTCATGAGGACGGGCGTGTGGACGCCTGCTCGGGCATCTTAAATTGGGGGCCCTGGGAATGAAATTGAGACAGAGGACCTAGTCCGTGCAGGGGACAGCAGGGGAGACCCAGGCCTATCATGTTAGCATCACCAGATTCATGAATGTGGAAGAAATTTAGTTGAGACTTTTGGAACAGGCATCAATATTTTAAAAAGAAAACGTTTTCCAGTGCACACCCCGGGTGCAAGCTTGTTCCTCTTTCCTGAGTGGAGCTAACAGCGGATACCCATTTGGAATTGCGGTTCCTGGCTTGGGGAGCTGCTCACACGAAATCTCTAGGTCCATTGGATTTTCTTTTTAATGGTACAATTATTTCTTTTGGAAATTACGCTTCAGAACTCATCAAGGCAACTGACCTTGATGAGCACTTATGAATTTGTGCCTCTGCTGATTCAAAGCCCGCTCACCTTCAGGTTCCTCCCAGGGCCCATTGGAAGGGGCGGCTCACCTCTCAGGATCAAAGACCTCGGGCCTGGGCCAGTGCTCGGGGTCGTGGTGCAGTGCGCCCACCGCTGTCTCCACCACAGCGCCTGCGGGGATGCGCTGCCCCAGCACCTCACAGTCCTGTGCCGCCTCCCGTGTGAACCTGTGGGGACACGGGGTCACCCCCACCTCCGTGAAGAGCAGACACAAACTAGAGAGCTCAAGGAGCAGCTGCAGAAGCTGGGGGACAGCAGGCCCAGCCCCTGCTGTGGGGGACCTGAAGGTGATCCCCCCTTAATCTACTGCCCCAGACCTTGCAACCTCTAGCTCCTTTGGCCTCCCTTGGTGCAAACGCATTCATCCGCCCCCTGGCTCGCGTCCATAAGCCGGAGGAGCCCATCTGACAGGTGGGGAGGTGTGGGGCCCACGAGCGCTTTTAAAGGGCTTGTATCTGGGGCCTGTTTGCGGGTCATTCCCTGGGCCACTCCCAGGCTTGTGCTCCTGCTCAGCCAAGCCTTTTCACCGTGCCCTCCCAGCGCCTCCATGTTCTTCCAGGACATTCGGGCTTGTGGAGAAGTTCTGGAGAGGAAGTCTCCCAGTCCGGTTGTTCCAACGGCATAATCCCGTTTGCGTCTTGTTTTTAAAGGCTTGTGATAAAACGGGCAGCTCTTCCGGAAGCATGCCTGCCCTCCCACCGGGCCTGCTCGGGGCGGGGCGCTGCGGCCGAGGGTGCTAGGGGCCCGGGGTGCCCAGGTTTTCTGTGGGGCATATATTATTTAAGGTTTAAGTATAAGCATATTTTTTGGTAACATAAACAATTATTTTAAACCTTCAAAATAACCTTGGCTGGCTTCTACTTCAGGTGCAGGACTGAGCGTCTCTAAATAGCTTGGAGGAGATAAAACTATGACACGTTTTCCTGCTCGTAAAAGAAATGAAAAGAAGCATGTGGCTCCCTCAACAGTCTGTTGTGAGCTTTAATAGAACAGGCAGGAGCATGAAAGGTGGGGTGGGGACCCCGACTCAGAGCCTAAGCTGCTCACGCAGGGCATGTGTTTGGGGCTGGTCACAAACAGCGGTTCAGGTCAAAGCAGGCTGGTGGGGCTGTGATGCCACCTGGTCCTAAGGGGATCAAACACGCTCTGCTGGGCACCCCTTCTTCCTCTGCCCCGGAAACAGCCTGCCCTGGGCGCAAGCCCCGCTGAGAGCCAGACAGCAGCGCCTTTCCCTGAGAGGGTCTGGGCCTCCTGTCTGGCTAGACCAGACCACATGAAAGGCCAGAAAAATCCGCTGATTTATACTGTGTGGAATCCTGGGCTCACACTAATAACCCTTCAACAAGAACTGTCAGGTTTCTTCACAAAGCCCATTCACAAAGTTCCTTTTACCGAGAAGGGTGTTGGTTAAGTTGTGTCAGAGCCTGGGAGAAGCCAACAGGCTCTTCTGAGAGTAATGTAATAGAACAGTAAAACCATGCGAACTCATTCTTCCATGTTCACCCCAAATCCCACGTCTGGGCTGAAGCAAATTGCCTCTTGTCTGGGGGAGAATAAAGGCTTCCCTCTCCCATTTCTGTGGTTTGGTAGCAGAAGCCCTGGCTCTGGGAAGGAGGGGCAGGGGTGCAGGAAGGGAGGCTGGGGAGTGAGACCTGCCAAGGTGGACCCCAGGAAGCTGCCTGCGGGGCTCGCAGCTTGGTGCTTCTTACTCCTGGGCCCTACTTTAGCAGGTCCATGGCTTGTTGGGCAACTGAGTTTCCACGGGACTATGCCACTGATTCTTCCTGAGCCTGTGTGTGTGTGTGGGTGGGTGGGGGGCATGGCACAGGGAGTCAGAGCAGTACAGCATGTACCCCACATCACACCTATGTTGGGCTCAGGGCCGAGGGGGTCTCCACTGTCTGTCTAGACTCATTCTATGTCATAATGAAGTTCTGTGTGGCTTTGTGAGGGAGTTTTAACAACCGCATCCCAATTCTCTCATTTCTGTCCTGCCTGGGGGTGAGATCAGCAGCAGGGAGGTTCCCCTGACTTTCGTTTCTAGAGGGTTGGCAGGAGCGTGGGCCACAGCATTTGGGTGTCAACGTGCCACCTGGACCAGGTGTTGTTACGAATTCTTGATTGGGTTTCGTGTGTCTTTCTCAGTCGGTCAATTTCCCCTCTAGAGAATACAGTTGTCTGGTTTCCCGCCTTGCAGGAGCAGCAGCCGCGCCTGGGCGACCCCATAAATGGTCATCTCTGGGGTCCCGTCGAGGCTGCTTGTCTTTAGACAGCCTTTGTTCTGTTTTATCACTGAATGTCTTATTTTGAACCTTGTCTTGATGTGTATAGCAGCTGCCCACAGATGCCTGGGAAGACAGGAAGGAAGCTGGATAAAAATCACTATACAACCAAGACTGGCTGACGCTTGGCTCTGTGGCTCCCAGGGAGATCTGGGAAGGCCTGTGGCCATCTCTTTGTGAGGTCAGGGGTGCCTTGAGGCCCCTAGGCAGGAGCCCTACACTCTGTGTGCCGGAGATGGCATGGTTAGTCACAGGGAATTCTCTGGATTTGCTCGGGATCTGAAAGTTTGGACAAACTATAATCACACTCTCTATGATGTTTTGGTCCGAGATGCCTTCAGATCACCCACGCTTTCTCTTAAAGTGGGGAAGGTGTCTCCATATGGTTTTTGGGGTATATTAATGCAAAGAAATGATAGTTCAATGCTTTGTGTTGCCTCTGTTTCTAGAATCTGAAACCTGGTCACTCTCTGAGGGTCTGGGGACCTGAGTTGAGACCCGTGCTCCATGGGGTGCCTCGTTTGGAGGGTTTAAAGGAAGCAGACTGGACTTCTGCTCCTCAGGCCAGTACACTGGAGAAATGTCGCAGAGTGCTTGAAACATGTCCAGGAATATAACCTGCAGTATTTACAGCCACAAATGCCAGGAGAGGCAGGGAGGAACCGGGAGGCATGGCCCAGTGCAGCTTCCAGGGTTGCTGAATTTGGCCTGGTGGTTGAGATGGGGTAGGTGTGGGTTGCTGGAAGGCAGGGAGGCGTACCCTAGGCCTGGGATGGGCGCCCCTGGAATGTCAGCTCCAAGGGCGGGGGTTTATCTGTTTTGTACAGGGACGATTCCCCATGCATGGCACAGAGTAGATGCTCAATAATTAGTTGCAGTGAGTGAGCGAACAAAGCCAGAGGCCAAGAGACTGGCTTGGGCTGGGGAGGAAGACCGTGCTGAGAAAAGACAGGCGAAGCTCTGAGAAGGTGCTTAACCTACAAGAAAATGGCTCAGACCCTTATTACTTTGGTCACAGTGTGGAAGGCCTCGCGCCTGGTGCCCTTGGGCATGCGAGGAAGCCGCAGGCTCCGGTGCCGAGTCCAGTGATGGTGATGACTCAGGCGGCGGCAGATGAGGGTAACGGCACCTGCACAGGGAGGACGGGGTCCAGGGGTGCGGGCGTACCTGAAAGCCGGTGGGTACATCCTCAGGGTCTCTGCAATCACCATGTCCAGGTAGGGCAGGTCTTCCTGGAGGCTGCAGTACTCCGGGGCCGGCTGATGGAGGATGCAGGATAAAGAAATAACGTCCACTGAGACCACGTCAGCAGAGTCCCATCCTCCCCATGAATGTCTGAGTCCTGCTCCCACTTTAGCAAACGCTTCGATGGAAACCCCGCGAAATGAAAAGTCAGCGCGCCCACCCGCACGGCCTGAGGGGCCCATTCTGCCTGCCTGGCAGAGCATTCGGCATCTCCTGTCAGGCTTAGTTCCATGGCGCTGTCGACGGCTTCCTGAGGACACGCAGGTCTGGCTGGGACCCGGGGTCTCTGAGCACAGGACAGAGCACTTCGCTCACGCACAGTGCGGGCAGCGCAGCCGCGCCATGTGCCGGGAGCTGGGGATACGGCAGGTCCCGAGGCACAGACACGGCCTATTTAATCCTCCCAGCGGGCCAGCCAGCTGAGCTCCTGTCTCTGAGATGCAGGAACCGGCTTAGAAAGGCGTCACACTGACACAGGCGGTAGTCGGTCCGCGGAAAAGTTAAAAGTCAAATAGTGAAATGGCAAAAAAAAAAAAAACCTTACTAGTCACAAGACCCAGGAGAGCTGCTGCAAGGCAGTACGAGAAGCAACACATTAGAAGATGGTCAGGAGACACAGGGAGCAGCTCCTGTGGCCGTGATGGCAAATACAATCAAAAAGCAAGATTCTGGTTTTCTTCATCACATTAGGAAAAATTGGAACATACCGATTGCCTCCTAGGGGCGAAGGTGTGAAGAGGCGTTAATCCAGCCCCTGTGATGGGGAACCCTCAGGTCCCCATGCAGTGACTCCCACTGTGGCCTGAAGAGGAGGCACACTTGGTAGTGAGTTGGGGAGCAGATCCAGGTGTGCCCGTGGCTGGGGTGGGTTCGGGTGGGGTTACCGGAGGCTTATTTGCTGTTCTATTCCTTTCCCCATGTCAGGACTTCCCCCTGGTCCTCTGGCTCCGCACGCTCTCCCTGGAGGTGGGTGACAACCTGGTCTTTTCCAGTTTGCTCTCCCCTGTCCTCCCTCCCCAGGGCAGCAGGGGGCAGCACGGGGCAAGTCCATGCTGCAGACCCCACCTTTCCTGCCGCGCTGTTCCCCCACCTGTGGCTGGCCCCGTGGAGGCCCCTCCAGCAACCTGCTTCAGCAGCAACCTCAGAAATGCAGAACCTGGGGCCACACCACAGGCCAGCACAGCACAGAAACTGCTGGTGAGGAGGGCCTGCCGGAGACAGCAAGTGCGTGGGGGGGTCCTTCATTTGCATGAGGAAAACATGGGGCCGGTGGGAACTCAGGGGAGAGAGGTAGGAGGTGGGGCCAGGGGCCCAGAAACCTGGAGTCTCGCAGTCCAGGGACAACGTCAGCTAATCTCTCCCACGGGGGCCAGTCCGCGTAAGGTGGACATTCCGCTGGCCGTGGCGCACGGCAGTAAAAAGTCAAGTTGCAGAAAATGTGTGTAGTTGAATGTTTGCGTGTTTGGAGAACAGGGAGGGAGCCCACTTGGTAATACAAAAGGAAAATGATCCTTGGTTTCCCCACATCTTTGCTTCTGGGAATGGGGCCTCGAGAAGTTCATCCTGCGCCTACACACCCACCTCGTCCCAGGCCACCAGGGCGGCGGTGAGCCGGCACCCGGGAGGGACCCGCGCTGCAGGGTGAGTGCCCCGTCTCCATCTTGAGCGTCTTAACCATCTCTCTTGGCTGAGTGTTCTGGAAGCAGAGTCGTGGAACAACCGGGGCAGGTTTGGGTGCTGGGGCCTTGCCCACCGCGGTCCCACATTCCTGCTCCCCCAGAAGGGGTTCTCACCTCAGCTGCCTGCTCTCCTGCCCCTGGGGCCCTTGGCCCAGCTCGACCCCCGATCCCTGTCTGCCGCTGGACAAGCAGGGTTATCCGTCCCTGGCAGGGGCCTGGGCACAGGCAGAGTGAGGGTGGGGAGGATCCTATGCACCCCGAAGCGTCGCAGGGAGAGTGTGTGGCGGTCACCCCAGCCCCTGCTGACGGTGTATGTGGCAGGACTGGCCAGAGCTGCATAATGGCTGGCGAGCCTCTGCCCCCGGCCCTGGGGCAGGTTTAAAGATCCAGAGGCTTAAAGATCTTTGGGGGGTCGGAGCCTACTGTGGTTCTGAGAGTGGGCTCTGATAAAGGGGACGCCTGCTCAACTCCCCTAGACCCTGCCTCAGACTAGTCAAGCTCTTGGGTTTGGGGGCTGGCAGGAGGGGCAGGCCCCTTGGGTACCATCAAGGCCTGACTCCCAGCCCCTCCAACCTCCCTTGGGGGAGCCTGAGGCACCCCTTTTCCCTTCTGATCTTCACTAATTGGTTTGTTGTTTGCCTCTTCTGCCCCGCGAATCACAAAATTCAAACTGTCATTTCAGCGATTCTGTTTGTGAGGTAAGTGTCCTGGCGGTTACGTTTAGAAAAAGCATCGCCCCATATAAGGATGAATGGTAAAAATTCATAATATTTTAAAACAGATTTTTCTTAGCGCGACATCCAATTGAAAACAAAAGCCCAGGGACAGTTGAGAGATGGCAAAGAAAGGAAGCTCTGGGTCTGCTCTGCTGGCGGCAGGTGTCGCCCTGCGTTTTGATAAGCCTCCCCCCCCCCCCCCCCCCCCGCATTTCAAGGACAGATCATGAGGTTGCCCGAGATTGCTCTCGGTGGGCCCCAGGGCGGGCCTCTGACCCAACCCAGTCAATCCAAACATTTGGATCTGGGCAGAGGAAAAGGAGTTTCTCTCCAGCAGGGGAAGTGGAACACAGGCTCTGCCGCGGGGACGCGCGAGCACAGACACCAGTTGGCAGCAGGCGGGAGGAAGGTATCAGATGCCGCTGCAGAGGAGCTGAGGCTGCCCCGGAGCTCCAAGCCCGCCGTCCGCCCCTGGCCGCCGCCTCCAGCAAGTTCTCGTTTTTGGCTTTAGTGAGCACCAGCCGAATTCCACTCTCCGCATCAAAAGGAGTATTAGCAAAGGCAAAACTTAAAAAAGAGAAAAAGGCAACCCTGGTACGTGCATCAAAATCTGGAAGTGCATCTGAATAGCTCAGCAGAGGGAAGTAGCGTGGGCGCAGCGGCCTGAGGGCAAAGGGTGAATGGTTCCACGAACAGAAGCCGGGGGTTTGGAAACTGCATTTGTCAAGAGGAGAAAACTTTTTAAAGGTAACTAAGGGAACTTTGGATTTTCAATTCAACATCTTCATTTTTCTTCCCCTAGATGAGCTTTTATGGTGCCCCCAGGCTTCTGATTTGACACATCCCTGCAAACATGAACTAGGTTTAATGGGTTCTGGAGGTGGCTGAACAGTAGAAGCAGCTCGAGGGCTCCTAAGATTGATGGCGGTTGGGCCCTGCCCCCCCCCGGGATTTCATGGCTGGTCAAAGGGGGGCCTGGGCACCAGCTCTTCCTTTGAAACCCCACAGGGGTTGTAATCTGCGGTGGGAAGGTGAGGGAGTCTCCCTGTCTGAGCCTCCACCAGTGACTCCCTGCGGAGGATGGAGTGGACAGAGCTTGTGCCTCCACATTTAACTGAACCCAGGAGGGGCGAGGGAATTCAAGCCTCTGCCACAACAGATCTGGCCGCCCCTTGGGGCCTCGCTTGGCAGATCTGGCCACCCCTTGGGGCCTCGCCTGGCAGATCTGGCCACCCCTTGGGGCCTCGCTTGGCCGGATTGTAGTGCTTTCAGGAAAATGGGGGACAAAGGGTCCTGAGCCAATCCCGCCAGCAGGGGGCAGCAAGCGCATGCCTAACGGGACTCCCCACTCGCAAGCATTTCTACCCCAGCGTGACCTCAGAGATCAAGAATCCAAAGGCTTTTTGAATCCTAGAGATGAGAAAAATGGGACGCAGAGAGAGAAGCCTGTGAACCGAAGGCCACACAGAACTTGGGGGAGACAACTCAGGTGTGCTTACTCACGGGCTGGTCCTCAACAAACCCCTGCTGCTGGGCAGACGCAGGGCTGGGTGCTGGGGTTTCAACCACCAGTAAGTCTCTGCTCTCCAGGGAAACGGGCCTCTCAGGGAATCACTGCGCTGAGTATGGCACAGGCCTGCAGCAACGTGAGAGGGAGTTCTGTCCCCAGCCGTGCATTCGTGCGTGCATTCAGCTGCAGGGGGTGCGTCTGTGGACCAGGCACAGTGCTAGGCTCGGGGAGATAACTCAGAGACACACTAGGAGCTTCCAGACTGTCTCAGGGTGCAAGCCAGGGCGGTTGTGGAGTGTCAAGTACAAGGGGAGGTGGGAGAAGAGGGAGGGTCGCATGGAGGGGAGGGTGGGGCCCAGCTGCTGGGAGGACGTCCTGTCTACACCGAGGCCTTTTGGATTCCATCGTGGGACCTTGAGCCCTGACTGGTGTTGGATGCTTTTAGGAAACCGTGGTTCGCTGTGTTTTCAGTGTGTTGATGGCATCATGGTTGTATTCTAGAAAAGAGTCCTTTCCTGCTAGAGAGAGACTAACATATGGATGGCTTGATTCGTCTGGGACTAAGGAAGTCAAATGGAAGCGGGTCGGGGCCGGGAGTCGTGAGGCCAGAGTGGACACCGTTGAGCTGGGTGGTCCCGGGGGTCCCCTGGTCACCCTTCCAGTTTGCACAGGTCGGAGTGTTCTGTCATGACCCTCAGAGAGTAAGTGGAGCTGCGAAGAGCAGCCGTGTGGGGGGCGAAACGGCTGATGCGAAGGCTGAGCGGGGGTGACCGGAGCTGGCCTGTCAGAGTTTTGTTTTGCGTGGATCTCGAAGGGCCAGCAGGCGCCTCCCCGCGGCAGCCCTTCGGGCCCAGTCAGAGGAGCCAGTCCGTGGGGGTTAGGAAATGAAGCGGAAAAGTTCACGACATACACAAAGACTTGTTTTTTTTTGCATCTGGGAAAAATTATCAAATTAAAAAAATGCTGGGGGGAGGCGGGTAGAAGTCATTTGACATGAAAAGGGGAAAGAGAGGGGAGCGGCGGCAAGAAGGAGGCGCTTTTCTTTGTGAACTAAGCTAGTCTGCTGCGGTGCGAACCCAGAGCCCCAGCCGTCTGCACCCCCGGGGGGCGGGGAGGGCGCCCGCAGGCTGAGGCCTGCTCGGTGCTGCTGAGGGCCCAGGAGGGTCTCGGCTGGGAGTGTCAGAAGAACTGGGGGTTCTGAGCCGAACCGTCTCCAGTTCTAGGCCGGGGAGCACTTTAAACATCCGTGTTTCCAGAAGACAGCAAGAAGCAACCTGGAGGCTCTTCCTCAGCGCTTGCTGCGCAGGCCACACCACTCAGGATTAGAACTGGGGGGGCGTAAGAGCTACTCATGGCCCCCTTGTTGGAGGACTTCACACCCAAGAGGGAAGCCTCCCTCCTGACCTCGGGCGACCTTGGCCATGCCTCAGGGTCATTGCCAGCCCCCAGCCCCCACTCCCCTCCACCCCCGCCCCATCAGGCCGGGAGTCCATCCTGGAGCCCTTGCACATCAGCCGTGGCCGGGGGTCCGTCACCACGGCAACAGCAACAGGTCACCTGGTCTGCAAGTCGGGGTCACGCCATTCCCACCTCCCAGGGCAGGGCAGGACTCATCTCACAGGTGCCAAACAAGCGGATGACAGTCCTGCGGGCACACATCCCGGCTCGGGCTCTCGCCCCCACGCGGCGCGTGTGCTGTGTTAGCTGCTCTGCAGCGACGTGGAGGGAGGAAGCGACCCTCCAGGCCTGCGGAATTTATTTCCACGGGGCCTCAGTTCACAGAGTAGGTAACTCTCCTCTTAGGAGGTTGAACGTAAATAATTCATGTTTAATGTTGGGAAATATTGCTTAAGGAACAAGCGAGAACATACTGGGAAGATGGAAATTAAAAAATAAACTGAGCTGTTGCACCATAGGTGGGTGCCATTCCCGAGTTTTGGTATTTCAGGGACACTTTTTCGTCTCTGTTTGCTTTTCAGTGGGTGGTAACTTCTCCTTTTCTATCTAAGGTGCTTGGCCTCTTAGTCTCTCTCTCTTTAGTCTTCCAAATGGTCGGGGAGTTTCGGATCTGTAAACCACTATTTATTTAACTTGTTAATTAAACAATTGTTCTATGGAAGCAACCTCGGTTGACACCATTTATGCTCTCAGGCTTACGGCCTTGTACGGCGACCTCTGTGTCCACGACTTTATATTCATCATCCAAAGCCTAGTTCCTCCCTCTGTCAAACCCATGTTTCAATGTTCCAGAGAAACCCGAGGGTTAAGGGAATTCTATGGAAAATCCATCTGTAAGTTCTTTTAAACAGGAAGTTATACTTCCCTCTTCTGTTGCTCTCGCGTGGCTACAATAAAATTTTTGTGTATCATTTATGAAGTCAAACACACACTCACTCACAAACACACACAAACACACACTCACACACACTCATGCCCACACACAGGCCCGCACAGGGGACATGCCGATGCGACAGAGTGTAAATGAGGAAAAGAAAATAAAAATGTCATTGCTTTCCAAACTATTTTTCCGGTGGATTCAGGGGCCAAATGGAAACATGAATGTTCTCCTAGATGCTAAAGGAGATAGAAATGGAGACGTCAACCTTGCTCCCCCAAAGCAGCTCCACAGCAGCCTCACACAGTGCCGAGGGCTCACCCGCCGCTGCTGGACTTGGTACCATCTGCAGCCG